CCTGGATTTCATGAGGATTTCCAGGGGCCTTCCTGGATTTCATCATCTCCTGATTCCTATGTGTCCCTCGGGCAGGCTACAACTCTGCTGGTCAGGCTGGGCCTTGGTAACCACCATCATCAAGTTCTAGTCACGTTCCTGAGAAGCCACCCAGCCATCTTGATCAGATGTGGGTGTTCCCCAATACCAGCCACCCACTGGGACACTGGTCATCTTTGAAGGAATGCTTCCCCTCAGCCAGCTCATCATGTTTCTGGTGTGGTGAGTCACTCTGGTTTCAACTCTGAACATAATCTTATTTCCAGGTCACCCGGGCACCACCCAGTCACTCCCGGATTTAGAGTAACAGTAAAAAGCTACCAGGGATTGGTGCGTATGTACCAGACACCATCTGAGGTGTGGGCTCATTTGAGCCTCACAACAACACAGTGAAGCAGGTATTTTCATCCCTATTTTACAGAAAAGTTGGAGAGGTTGACTTGCCGAGGAATATGCAGCAGGTCTCTGCAATCCACAGGTCTTCTTACCTGCATTTTATATACCCGGAAATTAAGTCTCAGTTACTTACTGAGGTTATGTTATTCATCTACATTCATGGAGTTAGCAAGCGGGAGGGGCTAAAATCTGAACATTTCCCTGACACCCTCCCCTTTTCCCTACTCTTCTTCCTCCACTAGTTTGTATCCTACGCTGCAGTCAACACTTGAACTCTGGACAGTCCCAAGAACCTGTAATAATGTACCATCTTGCCCTGGAGCCTTCCCACAGGCTGTTCTCCTCCATGCATTAGGCTGGCACAGACTAATCTAGACATGACCTCCTCCAAGAAGCCACACCTGGCCACCCTTGTCCAAGCGCCCTCTCGGGAGCTTCCTTGGTTCACCCTTGCCTATATCTCATGGCATATGAGATATGCCTTCTCTTCTCTTCTTGCCCATTTGCCTGCAAAGCAAAAGGCCAAAGGACTGCGTCTTGCTGATCACTAGGTCCTTAGCAGCCAGCACCTTAGCTGGCACAGAGTAGGTGCTCAGTAAGCATTTGTCAAATGAATGCTTGGCTCCAATAGCTGCATTTTGCTTTTTTGGAGGATACAACTTGGGCGTACTAAGTGGGAGCGCGCAGGTGATGACGGAAATGTGGCTTCCTGCTGGATCTGGGTGAAGGCTCTGGGGTCACTGGGACTTGGGGTGCTGATGTGAAAAAACTATGGTGTCCTTGCTGAACCAAACTCTCAGGCTACTGTTTCACTCCTAGTCAGAGACAAATGTGTTCTGAGTGACTGGAGTCATAGCTCAGAGCACCAGGAGCTGATTTAGGGTGGGGTGAGGGGCTGTGGCCTTGGGGCACTTGTCTCTAAAGGCCCAGGCCTCAGGGCTAGGGGGAGGGGTGAGGAGTGGCAGGCCTGTCCCCGGGAGGCTGCAGTCACTGGGGGAGAGACAATGAGGCTCAGCATCTGCTCCTCCCTGGGAGAAGGGACCCTCCAGTGAAAAGCCTGGGAGAGCAGGGAAGTGTGGGAGGAATTGATGAGGAGAAGGGGTGGAGCCAAGGAGATGCAGCCGGGAGGAAGGAAGGGAAGGAAGAGAGGAGGGAGGGCGAGGATCCAGGCTTTCCTTCCTCCGGTGACCTGGTCCTGAGCCGCGGCTTCCCCTGCATTGTTCCCTGCGTTTGCTCTCGGGGCCCACCAAGATCTCACGTTTCTGTCCCTGGCTGCAGCCCCAGTTCAAGGGCCCGGCATCGAGCAGGTGCTCAATACTTACTTGGGAAAATAAGAAATGTGACCAACTTTCCTCTGGGAACTTTCCCCTACTCTTCCGGAGAGCCCGAGGACAGAGCAGGTCTTGGGAGCACGCCTGGGCGCCCCATGAATCATTGACCCTTGGTAGTGGTGGCTCTGCCCGGCTCTGTCCAAGGGCTCCGGACCCGCCCAGCATCGGAGGAGAGAAGCGGCTCCGAGAGGCGGGTGCTCTGGAGGCTGGAGGCCTAGTGTCCGGCCTGCGCCTGGGCTGGGGGGAGGCGAGGCGGTGAGGAACCCCGCGGCCCCAAGGGGAGCCCAGAGGGACCTGACCTCCCCGCTGCCCGCGGCCACGCCTCGGCGCCCCAGAGCACTGCGCCCCCCAGCAGGGCGCCCCGAGGCTCGGTTCCCAGAAGCTGCCCTGAGCCCCTTCCCCACCCGGGCCCTGGCGCTCGGAGCCCGCGCCGCTCCCTCGAGTCCCGCCGTCCAGGGCTCGGCTCACAGCTGTTGAAAGGCTTTGGTCGTGTTCAGTGCTCTGCGGGGAGGTGTGTTCCAGGCCCATCTGCCTACTTTAAAACACAGAAGTGAGTGGGGCACACACCCGCGCCACCTCTGGCTGGGAGGGGCGGGCCTCGCTCGCACTGGGGAAGGAACCGGCACCCGGAGCCGCACCCGCGCCCCGCACCCCCCCTTCTCTCCCGAGGGCGCCCCCGGCTTCCCGGTGAGGGGGAGCAGGCCCCCGGGTCCCCTTTGTGCCGGGCCGGGCAGGGCCCCCCATCTCCAAGCGAGGTTCTGCCTCTCCCCTCTCCCCCGCTTCAGTTCATCTTTGTTCCCCTTTTCTGCTGAGGAGAAAAAAAAAGAGAAAGAAAGAAAAGAAGGAAAAAAGGCGTGACTTGATTTTCAAACGAAACTCCCACAGCAAACAAAACCCTTTTAGAGAAATAAGAAAGGAGGAAGAAGGAAGAAAAGAGGGAAGAAAAAAACAGGGGAAAGAAACACCTCCAGGCTTTCAATTCGAGTGGGAGAGTTGAACCGAAAGAAAGAGAGAGAAAGGAGGAAAAATCCTCTGCGGTAGAAAGAGAAAAGAAAACTTGGGCTGGCGAGAGGGGGGTGCCGGGGGTGGAAGGAAGTGAGAAAACAAAAGAGAGATAAAAGGGCTGCTTTTCTGTGTCTCTTCCTCTGCGAGCTGCTTAGGAGGAGCTGTTTTGCATCCCTTCACGTCAGCCCTGCCTCATTCCCTTCTTCCAGGGAGGGAGAGCGAGCGAGCGAGCGAGCGAGCGAGAGGAGGGGGGAGCGAGAGGAGCCGGAGGGAGGGCGGCGGGAGCAGCGGGCGCGCGTGGAGGCGGGCGGCGGGCGCGCAGCAGCAGCCCGGGCGGTGGGCACAGCCAGGAGCCCCCGACCCGCCCGACCCGGCCCGGGCCGCCGAGGGCCCCAGCGCAGGAGCCGCGCCCGGACCCAGGGTGAGTGTCCCGCGCGGCCCCCGGGCCCGGCCTCGCAGCTCCGGTCGGCGGCGGGGCCGGCGGGGAAGCGGGGGGCGCGGGGGTGGGTCGCTGCGGCCGCGGCCGACCCGCCCCCCGCCTCTCTCCGGGGACGGCCGCGCGCAGGCCCGCGTCGCGCTGCAAACATGTCGTCTTTTCCTTTCACTTCCACATTCCCTCATGCCGGGGAGCCGGAGGGAGCAAGGGAGAGCCGGGGAAAGAGGGAGAGATGGCGTCTGGGGTGGGGGAAGGGGGAGGAGGAGGGAGGGGGAGGGGAGGGGAGGGAGCGAGCGAAAGAGGGCGAGAGGGAGGAGAGCGCGCGAATGAGAGACGGAGAGAGAGAGAGAGACTGAGAGAGAGACCGAAGCAAAAATGAAAGGAAAGCCGCGGCGGCGCGGGAGGCCCTGAGGCGGCGGCGGCAGCGGCGGCTCCCGGGCCCGCACGTGGGTGTCCCGGTGCTGGTCGCGCTCCCCCCGCACCCGGCCCGGGACTCAAAGTTTCACCCCCTCGCCGCCCCGCCCCTACGGCTGCCCACAAACTTTATTCTCGGAGCGGGGGGGGACGGTGGCCGCGCGTCCCGGCCGGCCGGGGGTGGGGGAGGCTGAGCGCGCCGCTGGCGGGCTGGGGGCGTCCCCGAGGGGCCACCGGCCGGCTTCGGGGCGTCGCGGGCCGGGGACCTAGGACGGGCGCTGTCTGGCGGGGGGCGGGGGGGTGGCGGGCGGGTCCCCACAGCCGGTGTGGAGCCTCCCGCGGCTCAGCCCCCCTTCCTCCTCGTCGCCCTGTCTCCGTCTTCTCGCGGTCATTTTCCTAATTGGATGGAGCTGTGGGGCGTGATCACCGGCGTCAGATCGGGGCCCCCAGACTACCAGGTGGGCGCGCGGGCTCGGGGACCGGCGGGGCCGCCCCAGCCTCCCCACCCGGGGCACGCAGATCCCGCAGATCCGGCCCCAGGGCCACCGCCCCCTTAACCGCGGACTTGCTAACTAGTGCGTATCGGGTTTTTTCCAACTTGCCTTTTCAGATGACTTGTATGGGCGCTGTAACTGCTTCCTCCCGTCTGAGCTGTAGTTTGGAAAGATTTAAGAGGCCAGGGAGGTGCTTGTGTGGGTTTTAAACAATCGAAAGGGTCATTCTTGTATCCCTAGGCTTTGCCAGACGGTTAGGACAACATGTAGCAGCATCCTGGGTGCCTTTTCTTTCTTTTTTCTTTTCTTTTCTTTTCTTTTTTTGAGACGGAGTCTCACTCTGTCACCCATGCTGGAGTGCAGTGGCGCGATCTCAGCTCACTGCAACCTCCACCTCCCAGGTTCAAGTGATTCTCCTGCTTCAGCCTCTCGAGTAGCTGGACTACTGGCACATGCCACCATGGCTGGCTAATTTTTGTATTTTTAGTAGAGATAGGGTTTCACATATTGGCCAGGCTGGTCTCGAACTCCTGACCTCGTGATCTGCCCGCCTCCCAAAGTGCTAGGATTACAGTTGTGAGCCACTGCCCCTCCCCTCCTGGGTGCCTTTTCACAGGGACACTTTGAGGTGCTCATCCTACCGGGTCTCAGGGGGGCCTGCGGGGCAATCCAGTGAGGGGCCAACATCATGGCCCATCCTTGAGCTGCAGGCCGTGGGTGCACCTGCGATGGGCACCCTGAGCACCTTTCTTTCTGTGCAAAATGGAAACTTCCGGCGGATATGGACCTACAGGGTACATTTGTACAGAGAACTTTGTGCTCATGGGGGTCACTCAGCCAGCTTTGAAGCTGCCCTCTCAGTCCTGCCTTTGTACACGTGTAAGTAAAACCAACGTTCATTTCTACCAAGTAGAGGACTGGGGGTCTGTGTCCCTATTGCTTCTTCACCAGGGGCCCTAGAGAACCAATGGGGCGGGGGAAGAAGAAAATGGTTCTTAACTCATTAGGTAAGAGGGAATTCCTAATGTGATCAAAGTGGATGGGGCTGTCTGCTTTTGACTTCCGAAACCTAGAATGGCCATTCCGTCTCATTTGTTTTAAACAGAATCTTATTTTCTATACTTTCTCGGAGGTTTTATCAGCAACACTGGTGGTCCAGTGACCTTCTGGAGCTGGTTTTCCTGCCTAAGGGCAGCCAGGCTAGAGCTGCTTTATTTGGGGTAGGGGGAATTGGATGTTTGGGCCACATTTTCTTCCTCCAGCCTGGCCTAGTTGCCTGTGTCTTGGTGGAGGGGGCTGCAGTGAGTTCAAGTGGGGACCGAGGCTCATTTGTGTGTCTTCTCCTGAGAGCTGATACCTGGGTGAATCCTCAGCCCATGATGTGTGTGGTCAGCGGGCCATTTGTTCAGGGCTTGGGTCGTTTCCATTCCAACCGGGCATTTCCTACCAGGAGACTTACAGAAGACTTATTTTAGGCTCTCTGTCTGGAGACAAGGAGACGGACAAGGTCTGGAATGGTTTTCGAGTTGGAGGAAGGGCAACTAATGGGACCACCAGAGATTTTGCACTTGTATTTTAGTTTGCCTTGTGGCCCAGAGATATTTCTAGCAGAGCTGAGTTTGGAAAGAAGCACAACTTCTTTCTAGAAGGGAGTAAATAAGTAAATAAAAGGAGTCCAGCACATCTTGGAGGAGACAGGGGAAGGCTCCCTGGCCCACCAGTGCTGCTTGGCACTGGCTTCTCATACGGCTTGCTCACCCTTCCCATGCCCAGGGCAGGGACTCATGGTCTTGAATTAAGGGATCTGTGAATTGGCTGGGTCTGGTGTTAATGGTGGTTGATCTCAGCCCTTTGACTTCAAAGCTGGAAAAGGGCCTTAGAGATTCTCTGAAAGCAACTGAGGTACCCAGTAAGGGGCAGAACCAGCACTCAAATCTGAGCTTTCAGTGTGTTCCCAGTGCCATTTCTACAAGGCCACTGTCCCTGCTACTGCTGGGGATCCCAAATCAAGCTCACTTCAGAGAATGTAGCGATGAGAGCGTGAAACCCACGGGCTCACACCACACACATGAGACCGGTTTAATGGGGCGCCTTATTTTCCAGATGTGTTGTTACACAAACTGTGCTGGAGGATGTGACTGGCCAGTGAGATAACTAGGGGGAACTGGGTGATTCAGGCGGTTTCAACACTGACTTCTTCAAAGTCCAACAGTCAGAGGAGCAGTGTAGTCATCGGGATTTTTTCACATTGCGCCATTTTTTGATCTGGAATGCTTTCTTCACACTTTGACTCGTGTGTGATTTATTTAGGATTGGTCAGGAGAGAAGTGAAGGAATGTAAAGGCCCGAGGCCTGAACTGATCTTCATCCATGGGTTAAATGTACTAGAATGTGTCTGGGCGCAGTGGCTCATGCCTGTAATCCCAGTACTTTGGGAGGCAGAGGCAGGTGGATCACGAGATCAAGAGATGGAGACCATTCTGGCCAACATGGTGAAACCCCCTCTCTACTAAAAACGGCAGGCACCTGTAGTCCCAGCTGCTCAGGAGGCTGAGTCAGGAGAATCACTTGAACCCAAAAAGTGGAGGTTGCAGTGAGCCAAGATTGTGCCACTATATTCTGGTCTGGCTACAGAGCGAGACTCCATCTTAAAAAAAATAAAGTACTAGAACGTTTGTGAGGGTAGACGTCTTTGTTCATTGCTGAGCCTCTGTGCCTAGAGCAGGTTCTGATTCTAGTGGGCCCTCACTAGATACTTGCTGAATTTACTGGGCATTAGGAAAAGGGTTTGCCTCCCAGAAGGAACCCATGAATGACACAGGCAGGGACAGGAGGTGATTGATGGGAGCTGCAGAGTTGTGCTGTGAGTCATTGCTTCAAACAAGCTCCAGACAGGTGAGGCAGGAGGGGGCTGGGAAGAGAGGATCCTGAATGGGGCGGAGCCCCTGGGTGGAGACTCGTGCACAACAATAGGTTTGAATTGGACTCAGGATATAGGGAGAATAATAATCGTGGTGTATCCTGGAGCAGAATGACGCTGCGTGCTTTGTCTGTTTGTCTCTCTTAGTCCTCGCAGATGCTGGCTCCTGCATGCTTATTCTCATTTAGCAGTTAAATAACTCATCCAAGGGCACAGAGCTGGTATCCAAACCCAGGCTGTCTGACTTCAGACTTTGCCTCCCAGAAACGACGAGGTGGTCAGATATCTCTGCCAGTGCCAAAGAGCTGGGCATTCAGCACTTTGGGGTTCCTCAAAAGGACAGCAGCAGAAAAAGTGAAGAAGGCATTGTGGGTCTGCAGCAGAGGGAGGCTGGTCAGGGAGTGTGCCTGAAGAGGGCTTGTGAGACCTATCAGGGAATGCTTATTTTCGGGGCCTAACTATTCCCCACGCAGAGTGGCTGTTGTGAGATCAGGGCTATTTTGCACTTGATGAAGATGCAGGGGATCTTTAATGGGCAAAGATTGCTTAAAGTTTAGTTGGCATATATTTGAAACTGGTGGGAATTTTAAAGCTAAGAAATGTCATTGTCGGCCTTGATACCACCGGAGTCTTGTTTCCCACATGTGTAAAGCTTACCTGCCTACTCCAGGATGCTGGCCCAGCCTGTTCCAGACCACAGCAGCCCCTCATTGGCAGTCTGTGATGTGCTAGACACCGTGCAGGTCCCCTCCTCGTGAAGCTTGCAGTCTCCCTGGGAGGCAGGCATTAAACTAATAATTATACAAATACTCTTTAATTACAGTTGTTATGAATGGTTCAAAGGAATAAGTACAGAGACATTGAAGCCAGTAATCATTGAGAGGGGGCAGGGAGGCTTTCCTGAAAAAGGGCATTTAAATAGCCACCCGCAGTGTGGATGAAGAGGCTTTAACCAGGGTGGTACAGTTCATTAACCTTGATGTGAACCTCGAGACTCCATGTGCAGTCCATGGACCAGCATCCGTGTTACCTGGTAGTGAGTGAGAAATGCGGAACCCCGGGCTCCTCAGCAAATCTGCTGGATCTGCTGTTTAATTCACACGCATGGTCATGTCTGCGGACCACTTTGGGACTCAAAAGTACTGAGCTGGGAGGTTCTCAGCTTTGCTGGGAGCGGTTGGGTGACCCTGGGAAAGTCACTTCTCGAGCAAGTGAGGAGGGCATTAGGTAATCTCCTTATTTCTCTGGCTTCTCTGATCTTTGGCCTTTTCCAGTTTGTGCCATCGCCCCGCTGTGGAGGGTGAGGAGCTGGGCTGGTGCAGCAGCCCAGCCTGTGTGGCCATTGGTGGAAACCCAGCAGGCACTCGTCCATGCTCTGATCTCATTTCCCTAAGCCCAGAAGATGGGCTGGACCATCAGAGCCTTTGATAAGGATCGGAACAATTCCCTAAAAGATTGTCTTAAGGTGACCCTGGGAGGATTTGGCCTGAAGCAAAAGAAAAACTGGCAAGGGTCAAAAGGGCCTTGGGGAAGAAAGGTGTAGTGTTTCTTCCAAAAGCGGAACCTAAAACGAGGAGAGAGAGGCACCCGCTCAGTAGCTCCACGAGTGGGAACATAATGCTTAAAGAATTGCCGCGGAATTTTAGCCCTGAGATCTTCATGTCACTGTAGAGAAGAACAGAGGGTTGAAATCAGGGGTCCTGGACTCTTGCAGTGTGTGGGTGGGCTTTGAGGGTCAGGGGTACTGGAAACTGTGCAGAAGGTTACAATATGCACTTTTCTGGGAAGAGGACCCATAGCTTTCACTGGCCTCAAGGGAGGCTGCAGCTCCAATAATTAGTCAAATGTCTTTCTTGACTAACCTTACTCAGCTCTTTTGTTATATGGCACATACAATATGCCAGGCATGATTGTAAGCACTTTACACCTACTATTAGCTCGTTTAGGTGGAATACCTTTCCAGAGGTCACAGGTCTGGTAAGCCTCAGAGCCAAGATTAGAATGCAGGCACTGCGGCACCAGAGTCAAAGCCTACCCTAGTAACAGGGCAAGCAGGACGAGGGGCTAGTTCTTTTTGGTAGCACAGATGGAGAGGCTCACCCCTACCCCCACTTTACAGGTAAGCATGTCCCGATAGTTCATGTAAAACACAGAAAGGATTTTCCCAAGGAAGCACGCTGTGAGTAGCTCCGGGTGGCCAGGCTAGCCCGAGAAAGCCTCTATCACTTTGGGGCCCAACACATGCTTGTTAGCAAAGAAAATAATGAGAAAACAAGACTGCTGCATCACTAAAGGCTACATTAAAAATTCTAGAATTGGAAAGAAGGCACTTGAAGAATTGCACCCTTAAATCAGGGAGGTAAGGTGGCAGCAGGAAGTTGGGGTGGATTCTGAAAAGGAGGGATTAAAGGACATCAGAGCCAAAGCACTGCCAAATATATGTCGAATCAGTACCTTCAAAAGATAAAATAGCTGGTTTTTATTACTACTCATTAATGTGTGTAGCTCACAGACCTGACCCTTCCCCCATTCCTAGTGCCTACACTAAGTACAGAGGCCTTTTGTCTTTTCTGTCATTCATTCTCTGTGTTACTTGAATTGTTATCCAGTATGTATTATCTTTTATATATATATACATAAATATATATAGGGGTGTGTGTGTGTGTGTGTATGTATGTGTGTGTTTGTAAGTGAAGTAAAAGAACATTAGAAGTGGGTTGGAGGCCAGGCACAGTGGCTCACTCCTGTAGTCACAGGCATTATTACAGAGATGGGATGGGGTTGTCCTTTGGGAGGCCCAGGCAGAAGGATTGCTTGAGCCCAGGAGTTTAAGACCAGCCTAGGCAACATAGTGAGACCCTGTCTCTCCAAAAACTTTTTAAAATCAGCCGGTGGCACGTGTAAGCTGTAGTCCCAGCTACTTGGGAGACTGAGTTGGATCCCTTGAACCCAGGAGGTTGAGGGTGCAGTGAGCTGTGATCACGTCATTGTACTCCAGCCTGAAAACCCTGTCTCAAAAAAAAGTGGGTTGGCCTCTTTCACAATCACCAATGTAAAGGAGTTTCTGATATCAAATATATGTGATCTATTGTGTGTTTATTTCTGGGAGTACTAAGAGAAGTGTTGGAAATGTGAGGATTTTTAGTGTAGTCAGAGGCTGAGAATAAGTGATCACATTGTGACCCAACTATCTTCCCTTTTCTTACTTCCCTGCCCCCAGCAAATTGTATACATGGAATCAAAATGAACTACAGAAAGCAGGAATGTCCACCCTCCACATTTGAATGGGAAACTCTAACTTTTGTGATGACTCTTGGTTATGTGTGGTTTTATCTTCGGTGTGGTACCTGGAATGCCATCTGGGACCCCATCCCATTCTGGGTGGGATGGGACAGCAAGGATACACATTTCCAGACTGGGAAGGCAGTCCTGCATGTGTTTGGTAAAAGACGATGGCCAAACTTGGAGCACGTCGGAATGTCCTTACAAGGACCAAGTCCAAGCTGGCCCTTGAGACCCATCAGGTTCCCTCTGGAAGCTGGTGGGGCTGGTCCTCGAGCCGTGCGCTCACAAGCCATCACTTCCCATCATGACTCCATTCTCTAGCTATAAAATCACAACACAGTTCATAGACTTGCCGTTACCCAGAAGCAGGTCACCTCTGAAATTCAGAACACTTCCTGTCCTCCCACTACACGGCACTCGTTGAAGCAGCCCTGCCCTCCCCTGCCCCAGCCTGGGAAATCTGTACCCACTCCCTTGGTCCATTCCCCATGTGCCTACTATCAACCCCACTACTTATTCCTTTGCGTCCTGCCCTGGCTCCTTCCCTGTGTCTGGGTACCCCACATCCTCCTATGCCTTAATCCTTCACCTCATCTACAGTCACACATCTCTCCCCCCCACCCCCTACCCATGTCACTTCTCTTTATCCTAGGATTTCACAAAGAAGAGTCCACTCTGGCCCCACTTGCTCTCTCCCCCTCTCCCCCTGGCCAGCTCAGCAACAGTGGAGAGTTTCACTCCAGCCCACTCTCACTCCAGCTGGCTCTCCTAGAGGTAGGTCCCTGGCCACCTAATCACACCCGGTGGCCCGTCTTATAAGGCATTCTCTTACCTGGCTTATGTACAGCAGTTATTGTCATGAATAGTCTTCTCCACCTTGGGTCTCATCACTCTGGGTCCTTTTCCTACCTCTCATTTGCTTTTTGTGCCATTCTTTCTTTTTGCTATGCTTGGGTGCCTTGGCCACAGTTCTTTGCTACTTGCTTACCTCCCATGACTGTGGTTTCAGCCTGCATAGGCCTCATGGCCTATGATCCCTGTCCTCACGTCTCCTAGACAGCCTAGAGCTGGATTTCCTTTTGCTTTTAATCTAGTGTGATATCTGTGCTCTTTTAACTGGAGAGTTCGGGCCATTTGCATTTGTTATGATTTTGGAAATAGATTTTTTTTTTGTGACGGAGTTTCGCTCTTGTTACCCAGGCTGGAGTGCAATGGTGCGATCTCAGCTCACTACAACCTCCACCTCCTGGGTTCAGGCAGTTCTCCTGCCTCAGCCTCCTGAGTAGCTGGGATTACAGGCACATGCCACCATGCCCAGCTAATTTTTTGTATTTTCAGTAGAGACGGGGTTTCACCATGTTGACCAGGATGGTCTCTATTTCTTGACCTCTTGATCCACCCGCCTCGGCCTCCCAAAGTGCTGGGATTACAGGCATGAGCCACCGTGCCTGGCCTCGAATTTTCTTTCTTTTTTTTTTTTTTGAGACGAAATCTCACTTTATCGCCCAGGCTGGATTGCAGTGGCTCGATCTCAGCTCACTGCAACCTCTGCCGCCTGAGTTCAAGCAATTCTCCTGCCTCAGCCTCCCAAGTAGCTGGAATTACAGGCGCCTGCCACCGTGCCCAGCTAATTTTTGTGTTTTTAGTAGAGATGGGTTTCACCATCTTGGCCAGGCTAGTCTTGAACTTCAGACCTCATGATGTCCTCAACTCGGCCTCCCATAGTGCTGGGATTATAGGCGTGAGCCACTGCATCCAGCCAGATTTTTTTTTCTTCTTCTTTTTCTTTTGAGTCAGGGTCTCACTCTGTCACCCATGCTGGAGTGCAGTGGCACGATCTCAGCTTACTGCAACCTCCATCTCCCAGGCTCAAGTGATCCTCCCACCTCAGCCTCCCAAGTAGCTGGGACCACAGGTGTGTACCACCACAGCTGGCTAATCAAAAAAAATTTTTTTTATGTAGAGATGGGCTTTTGCCATGTTGCCCAGGCTGGCCCTGAACTCGTGAGCTCAGGCTATCCGTTCGCCTCAGCCTCCCAAAGTGCTGGGATTACAGTGTGAACCAATGTGCCTGGCCAAAACAGGATGCAGGTTTCTTTCTACCATCTTATTTGGTGTTTCCTGTGTGTTCTTTTTCTGATTGTTCTGGTCATTCTTTCTTTTGAATTGATTGAAAGTTTTTTTTCTTTCCTTCCTCCATTTTTTCTCTACAGCTGTGAAACTTTATATATTTTATTTATTTATTTATGTATTTTTTGAGATGGAGTCTTGCACTGTCACCCACGCTGGAGTGCAATGGCGTGCTCTTGGCTCACCGCAACCTCTGCCTCCCGGGTTCAAGCAATTCTCCTGCCTCAGCCTCCCAAGTAACTGGGATTACAGGTGGGCACCACCATGCCAGGCTAATTTTTGTATTTTTAAGTAGAGACTGGGTTTCATCATGTTGATCAGGCTGGTCTCGAACCTGACCTCGTGATCCGCCCTCCTCAGCCTCCCAAAGTCCTGGGATTACAGGTGTGAGCCACCACACCTGGCTTATATATTCTATTTAAAAAAAAAAATTTTTTTTTTTTACCTTTTTTATTTTTAGAGACTGTAACCTTGCTTACTGGGCTCAAGTAATTCTCCCGCTCAGGCTCCTGAATAGTTGGTCTTGAATTTGAACTTCTGTTTGTTTTGTTTTTTTCTTTTTTTGAGACAGTCTTACTCTGTCACCCAGGCTGGAGTGCAATAGCGCAAGCTCTGCACTCACAAGTTCAAGTGATTCTCCTGCCTCAGCCTCCCGATTAGCTGGAATTACAGGTGTGCGCCACTATGCCTGGCTAATCTTTGTATTTTTAGTAGAGACAGATTTTCGCCATGTTGCCCAGGCTGGTCTTGAACTCATGACCTCAGGTGCTCTACCCACTTTGGCCTCTCAAAGTGCTGGGATTACACCCATGAGCCAGTGCGCCCGGCCTAGCCTCCTGAGTAGTTGGTACTATAGGCATGCAACCACCACTCCTGGCTGTTTTATTTATTTTTTATTTTTATTTATTTATTTTTGAGACGGAGTTTCGCTCTTGTGACCCAGGCTGGAGTGCAATGGCGCAATCTCGGCTCACCGCAACCTCCGCCTCCTGGGTTCAGGCAATTCTCCTACCTCAGCCTCCCGAGTAGCTGGGAGTACAGGCACGCGCCACCATGCCCAGCTAATTTTTTGTATTTTTAGTAGAGATGGGGTCTCACCATGTTGACCAAGATGGTCTCGATCTCTTGACCTCATGATCCACCTGCCTCGGCCTCCCAAATTGCTGGGATTACAGGCTTGAGCCACCCCGCCAGGCCGGTTGTTTTATTTTTGTAGAGGTGGGGTTTGGGTATGTTGCCTAGGCTGGTGTCGAACTCCTGGCTTCAAGCTATGCTCCTGCCTCGGCCTCCCACAGTGCTGGGATTACAGGTGTGAGCCACCGTGCCTGGCCTGAAATTGATAAACTCTATTTCTATTCTTTTGATGTACACAGACTGTATAATGTTCACTTGGTCTCTCTATATATTTTTTCATACAATGTAAGGACCTTGGAATGCTTTATATAAAAGTCACCACTGTCCCTGCCCACATTCAGTTGTCATACAGTGGTTTATGTTTCTCTCTTTAATCCCACAAATTGGGCTCTAATTTTAATGTTATATACACTTAATCCTTTGTTTTTATTTTCCACATATTTACCATTTACTCACACTTTTCCTTTCATCTCACATCTTCTTTCTGGGATCAGAACATCATGTGGTGAAAGACTTTTAGTCATAAACTCAGTTTCTGTTTGGCTGAAATTTTATTTCATCCTTATTCCTTTTTTGTCTTCTTCATCTTTTTTTTAGCCTAGAATATATATAATAATGGCTTCATTCTTCCTCTTAAAAGATAGTTTTGCTAGGTGTAAAACAGTCTGACCATTATTTTGTTGGTGTTTATGAGTATTATTCCACTGTCTTCAGGCTTTCATTGTTGATATTTTTTTTTTTTTTTTGAGACGGAGTTTCGCTGTTGTTACCCAGACTGGAGTGCAATGGCACAATCTTGGCTCACCGCAACCTCCACCTTCTGGATTCAAGCAATTCTCCTGCCTCACCCTCCTGAGTAGCTGGGATTACAGGCACACGCCACCATGCCCAGCGAATTTTTGTATTTTTAGTAGAGACGGGGTTTCACCATGTTGACCAGGATGGTCTCGATCTCTTGACCTTGTGATCTACCCGCCTCAGCCTCCCAAAGTGCTGGGATTATAGGCGTGAGCCACTGCGCCTGGCCTCATTGTTGATATTTTTAAGAAGTTGGGGGCCAGGTGCGGTGGCTCATGCCTGTATTCCTAGCACTTTGGGAGGCCAAGGTGGACAGATCACAAGGTCAAGAGATTGAGACCATCCTGGCCAACATGATGGAACCCTACCTCTACTAAAAATACAAAAATTAGCTGGGTGTGGTGGCATGCACCTGTAGTCCCAGCTACTCGGGAGGCTAAGGCAGGAGAATCACTTCAACCCAGGAAGTGGAGGTTGCAGTGAGCCGAGATCCCGCCACTGCACTCCAGCCTAGCAACAAAGCAAGGCTCCAGCTCAAAAAAAAAAAAGTTGGTAGCCCAAATTGTGCCCTTAAGTAAATTCTTCTCTTTGGTTGTTTTATATGTGTATTTGTATGCTTATGTTTTGTGCTGTGCAATCCACTGTAATGTACCAAGGAGTGGATTTTATTTTAGATTCACTGGGCATCCTGAAGGCAAGGATTGTTGTCTATCATCAGTTTTTTTTTGGGACAAAGCCTCCCTATTACCCAGGCTGGAGTTTAGTGGCACAATCTCAGCTAACTGCAACCTCCAACTCCCGGGTTCAAGTGATTCTCCCACCTCAGCCTCGCGAGTAACTGAGACTACAGGGGTGCACCACCATGCCGGCTAAATTTTTTGTCTTTTTAATAGAAACTGGGTTTCACCATGTTGGCCAGGGTGATCTTGAACTCCTGACCTCAGGTGATCCACCTGCCTTGGCCTCCTAAAGTGCTGGGATTACAGGCGTGAGCCACCATGCCCCACCTGTCATCAGTTTTAAAACGCTTTTTTTTGTGTGTGTGAGACAGAGTCTTGCTCTGTCTCCAGGCGCCAGACTGGAGTGCAGTGGCACAATCTCAGCTCACTGCAACCTCCCACTCCTGGGTTCAAGCAATTCTCCTGCCTCAGCCTCCCGAGTAGCGGAGACTGCAGATGCGCACCACCACACCCAGCTGATTTTTGTATTTTTTTAGTAGAGACAGGGCTTCACCATGTTGGCCAGGATGGTCTCGATCTCTTGACCTTGTGATCCACCCGCCTCAGCCTTCCAAAGTGCTGGGATTACAGGCATGATCCACTGCACCCGGCCTCAGTTCTAAAACATTTTTAGCCATTATATCGTTGCATATTGTTTCTTCATCATTATCTTGTTCTAGTTTCTCCTTTGGGAACTCCAGTTAATTGTATACTAGCTTTTGTTTTATATTCTTTGTTATTTCTTTATTCTTTGTGTTTCTTAACTTTTTCCTTTTTAATATTTTTTTTTTATTCTGGATGTTTTCAGGGTGTTTTTTTTCCCCACAAACAGAGCAATGAAGGAGTAATTTCTTATTAAATTTTTAGTTCACTAATTCTCTCTATATTTATCTCTAATCTGTTTAGCTCTTCACTGAGGTATTTTTAATATCAATATTAACTCATGGGTTTAATATATCTAACGTGTTTTACTCCATTGCAATTGTTATTTTTGATGCTCATCTATTGAATTTTTAATGGGACTGATTATATTTTTTTATTTCTGGGTTTCTATTTTATTCTTTTTCAAATATGCTCACCTCTTAAAAAAATCTCTCGTATTTTTTAATTCCTCATTTTATTTCTTTAATCATATTAAATATGTTTATTTTGTATATGATATCCAATAAATCTAGTATCTGAAGTATTTGCAATTATAGTTGTATTGGTTGATGCTTCTGCTGACTTCCATTCATGAGGGCCTGCTTCGTTAGGTGTTCCGTGATTTTTATTATGTATTTATTTAATTAATTATTTATTTGAGATGGAGTTTCATTCTTGTTGCCCAGACTGGAGTACAGTGGCATAATCTCAGCTCACTGCAACTTCTGCCTCCCAGGTTGAGGTGATTCTCCTGGCTCAGCCTCCTGAGTAGCTGAGATTACAGGCACCCACCACCACGCCTGGCTGATTTTTGTATTTTTTAATAGAGATGGGGTTTTGCCATGTTGGTCAGGCTGGTTTCAAACTCCTGAACTCAAGTGATCTCCCCACCTTGCCTCCCTTGGCTTGCTGGGATTACAGTCGTGAGCCACCATGTACAGCCAGGTGTTCTGTGAATTTTGATTGCAAGCTTATGTTTGTTAGCATTCTATCTGTGAGAATTCTTTAAGGTATAGGATGAGAGTACCTTCTTCCAGGGAGGATGTGTGTTTCCTTCTGCTGGATACCTGAAGGCCCTACAGATGGATTCATTTCTCTTTAATTCTTAGCTTGCAGTTTTAGTAACCAGAACCTAAACCCACATGAGAGCCTACCAATGACCACAGATTCTCAGAGGAACCTTTTTTTTAAACTCTACCCACAGCTAACACTAAGATTACTTCCTTCCTGACTATATACCACCAGGTGCTCTCCTTTACGCCATTGTCACTTTATTGCCAAATGCCTTCTCTCAATTTTTGGTCAAAGTCCTAATCATTTCAGGCCCAATTAAAAACTCGGTATCTCCTGAGCCTTCCCCACACCATTCGTTGCAAAATTAACTGTTCTCTCCACATTCACAGGCTACTGTTACCTTACCTATTAGTCTGTGAGTATATGCGTTCACAGACTCACACTGGACTCAGAGCTTTTTCAAAGCACAGAGCTGTATCATTTATTTCTGGAGCCCCAGTCCCTGGCTCACTGTTGGGCAGAGTAGTTGTTTAATAGATATTTATTGATCAAAGAGGATTTATGGCAAAACCAGTACTTCTTTTCTTTTTGAATAGCAATAAAAAAAACCATAAGCACTAACCTGCCCCGTGGTATTGGACAAAGCCAGTTCACCTCTTTGGATCTCAGTGTCCTCAGCTGTGAAATGAAAGGATATTCTGAGGTCTTGACGTGTTCTAAGACACTGAGATCCAATGCAGCTGTGTGGCTGTCAGTCAGGATACTGTGGATCCACTCTTGCCTCACAAAGGGAATGGAGGGATGGGAGGGCTGTGGTGAGAAAGAGCATAATTCTGAGGTAACTGGGCATGAGTTGGAAGAGAGGAAGAAGGGACTTCAGGGTGGGTTAATATAAAATAAAGATGGGAGAGCCAGGCATGATGGTATGTGCCTGTAATCCCAGCTACTCTGGAGGCTAAGGTGGGAGGATCACTTGTACCCAGGAGTTTGAATCCAGTCTGGGAAACATAGTGAGACCCTGTCTCTTAAAAAAAAAAAATGACAGTAAAAAAATGATGACTTGATTTAACTAGATGGCTATATCTAAAAAATGAACACATTAAAACAAAATAAATTTTAGTTGGAGAAAGTACTTTCTAAGTATGACGTAAAACCCAGGAGCCATAGGAAAAGTTGATATATTTGACCCTATGCAAGCAAAGAATTTCTTCATGGCAGAATCCATTATAAAATCAAAGGAGTCTCGCAGTTCTCAAAACTGGGAAAACATTTTTTCAACATACATCATAGAGCTCATTTCCTTAATATCTAAAGAGTTCCTACAAATCAATAAGAAAAAGACCATCAACCCAATTTTTATTTATTTATTTATTTATCTATATATTTAATCAAAGGATATTTCAGTGCTGCCATCAACCCAATTTTTAAAGCAGGCTAAAAACACAGACAGTTCACGGTTTTGAACTATATGAGAATGCGTTGAGCCCATTAGCCATAAGAGAAACACAGGTTTACTGTGGAGATGTGACAGTGGGGACCAGATACTCTCATAGTTGTTGATAGAAGTGTAAAATCAGTACAACTTTTATGGAGGGAATTTTGACAATATTTATTAAAATTAAAAGTGCATGAGCAATTCCACTTTTGGAAATTTCTCTTACAGATAAATTGTACATGTGTGAAATGATGTATTTTTTTTTTCTTTTTTTTTTTCGAGATGGAGTCTCACTCTATCACACAGGCTGGTATGAACCTCTGCCTCCCAGGTTCAGGCGATTCTCCCAACTCAGTCTCCTGAGTTGGAAGACTTCAGGCACACACCACCATGCCCAGATAATTTTTGTATTTTTAGTAGAGACGGGGTTTCACAATATTGGCCAGGCTGGTCTTGAACTCCTGATCTTGTGATCTGCCTGCCTTGGCCTCTCAAAGTGCTAGGTTTACAGGCATGAGCCACCACACCTGGCCACATTTTTCAAGGTAGTTAATTGCCTCATTGCTTGTAAAAGGAAAAGAAAAAGGAAACTACCAAAATATCCATCAGTAGAGAACTGGTAAATAAGTTATCCTGCCACCATACTACGCAGTTTTTTTTTTTTTTTTTTGAGATGAGGTATTGCTCTGTCATCCAGGCTGGAGTGCAGTGGCACAGTCACAGCTCGCTGCAGCCTCAGCCTCCCAGGCTTAAGCGATCCTCCCACTGCAGCCTCCCGAGTAGCTGGGAACACAGGCGCATGCCACCACACCCAGCTAATTAATTTTTTGTAAAGATGAGGTCTCATTATATTGCCCAGGCTGGTTTTGAACTGCTGAACTCAAGCAATCCTCCTGCCTCAGCGTCCCAAAGTGTTGTGATTACAGGTGTTAGCCACCGAGCCCAACGCCATATGATGCAATTCTGTGCAGCTGTAAGAAAGAACGGATGCTTCCTATGTACCAATGCACACTGTATACCAGCTAAGATATCTTAGGTGAGAAAGTGAGGGATAGAGTACCTGGTTATGCAGTAGCTCTGCAAAGTTACCTAGGAGGCTGGTAACAGTGGTTTCCCACAGTGGGGGCAGACTTTTCACTGTGTATCTTTCTCTGTATTTTGAATCTTGTTCCTTGTGCACATACTACCTAATAAATGGTTTTTTTTTTTTTTTGAGATGGAGTTTTGCTCTTATTACCCAGTCTGGAGTGCAATGGCACGATCTCAGCTCACCGCAACCTCCACCTCCTGGCTTCAGGCAATTCTCCTGCCTCAGCCTCCTGAGTATCTGGGATTACAGGCACGTGCCACCATGCCCAGCTGATTTTTGTATTTTTAGTAGAGACGGGGTTTCACCATGTTGACCAGGATGGTCTTGATCTCTTGACCTCGTGATCCACCCGCCTCGGCCTCCCAAAGTGCTGGGATTACAGGCTTGAGCCACTGCGCCCGGCCTAATAAATGTTTTTAAAGGGAAAAAGGATGGGTAGAAAGAAAGGAGGGTTGGGAGGGAGAAGGCTCACCTTTGCTTTGAATTTTCACTTAGTCTATTTCAGTTTTACTCTCCAGAAACTGGTGTGAGGTTATCATTTTTAGACCAAGAATGAAGCTCGGAAGTCTGAAATTACCTGCCCAAGTTCATGGAGAGAGTTAGCCTTGGAAGCTGGCCTTGAATCCAGTCCTGACTCCAGAGCCATTGGTCTCATCTCTGTCAGTTTTCTTTTTAAATTTATTTTATTTTTTTGAGACAGAATCTCTGTCACCCATGCTAGAGTGCAGTGGTACGATCATAGCTCACTGCAGCCTCAAACTCCTGGGCTCAAGTGATCCTCCTGCCTCATCCTCAAGCAGCTGGGACTACCAGCATGTGCCACCATGCCTGGCTCATTTTAAAATTTTTTGCAGAGGTGGGGTCTGTGCTGGTCTCAAACTCCTTCTCAAGTGATTCTTCCACCTTGGCTTCCAAACTGCTGGGATTATAGGCATGAGCCACTGTGCCTGGCCTCCTCTTTTTTTTAACCAACATTTCACGGGACAAGGACAAATGGCCTAGACCCATCTCTGCCATGGGAGTGAGTGGAAAGAAACTTCCACTCACGCCTCTGCAGCTGGCTTGTGCCTACAGGGCAAAAGCTCAGCAGTCAGTGGTGAAGGCCAGCCCAGAGCCTGGCCAGCCACTTCAGACACAGCCAGGAGGAGTAGGGATGGGCATTGCAGCCCTGCCTTTGAAGTTCCCAGCTTTTATCAGAACGTCTGAACCTTAGTGTTATTTCAAGGGAGCTTTTATTTCTGTCTGTAAACTGGCCTTAGGTAGGTGCCAGCTGCTGCCAGGTGCCAAGGGAGCATATCCTGGCTCCTAAGCTGGTCCCTTCACTTTGTTTTATGGCAGGGAACATTTTAGGGTAAAGATACTTGGTACTTGGAAGATTCTGGGAGGATAACTTTTAAAAAATATTTTCTATTCAGAAGTGCCATTGGATGGCACCTCTTTAATTAAAAGGAGGAAGAGGTGTGTTTTTACTATTTGTCTCACAGAACTACCTGTGCTGTTTTTCAAAGTAGGGTATTGACTGCTTCCTCCTTGCTGATGAGAAATGCTGTATGGAGAACAAAGCTAGAGGCGTTGGCCATACATAATACGAGGCTGTAATTTATGGGCTACAGCTCCACCAGGGGAAGAATTTGATGTCTTTAAGAGATACAAAATCATCCAGCCCCAGCTGTCCTTGTGTGTGGTGCCATATTTATTTTCTCACTTGGAGTCATCGTTCTTTTTTTTTTTTTTTTTTTGAGACAGAGTCTCGCTCTGTCTCCCAAGCTGGAATGCAGCGGTGCTATCTCGGCTCACTGCAACCTCTGCCTCCCGGGTTCAAGCAATTCTCCTGCCTTAGCCTCCTGATTAGCTGGGACTACAGGCATGTGCCACCACTCCCAGCTAATTTTTGTATTTTTAGTAGAGACGGGGTTTCACCATGTTGACCAGGCTGGTCTTGAAATCCTGACCTCAGGTGATCCACCCGCTTCGGTCTCCTGAAGTGCTGGGATTACAGGCGTGAGTCACCATGCCCGGCTAGGAGTTATCACTCTTTAAGAAAGAGGAAGAGTCCTTTCAGGCTGAGGAATGCTCTCAGAGGTAGGAAGTTTTCAGAATCTGTGGGCCTGAGCTGGCATGTCCAATATCCTGTCACTGTCCTTGTTGGCATCTTACAAGGGATGCATCTGAATGACCCACCCTGTCCACTTGTGTTTGGTGCTCGGTGAAGGTGGGAGTGTCTTGAACAGCAGGGTTCTGTCCTCTTGTAAAGTTTGTACTCAGCCAGGCGAAGTGGCTCACCCCTATAATCCCAGCACTTTGGGAGGCTTAGGCAGAAGGATCACGAGGTCAGGAGTTCGAGAACAGCCTGGCCAATGTGGTGAAACCCTGTCTCTACGAAAAATAAAAAAATTAGCTGGGCATGGTAGTGTGCACCTGTGGTCCCAGCTACTTGGGGGGCTGAGGCAGGAGAATCGCTTGAACCTGGGAGGCGGAGGTTGCAGTGAACCAAGATCACAACGCTGTACTCCAGCCTGGGTGACGGAGACTCCGTTAAAAAAAAAAGTTTGTACTCATCAGCGCCCAGTTGTTTTAAGAATTTGAGAATGGATAGGAGGCACCCAGGAAATGTTTCCCAGATGGATGCATTTTGTTATTTGAAATAGACTCTAAAGCCTTTGGCTTGTGATCATAAAGAGACTGGCGACATTGAGACGCCTCCCCACTGCTCCTCAGGTTTTCCTGGTGCTTGAATAATTAAGTCCATGCCCTGTGGAAACTCCTTCCCTGGGCTCTAGGGCATCTCTGAGCAAAGGCTTCTCTAAACAGTGTGCTGTGAGTGCTCTGGGTGTCCTCCCCAGTGTTCTGTTCCATCATATCCTTGTGTTCTATCTCACTATCCAGAAAAACTTCTGTATAACATCAGCTGTGTTCTGTTGCTTCAGTTGCAGAGCTTGTCAGAATTTCTTTTCCAAATCCTATTTGGGGCTTTTCTTTTGTTTTTTTTTGAGATGGAGTCTCGATCTTGGAGTACAGTGGTGTGATCTCGGCTCACTGCACCCTCTGCCTCCTGGCTCAAGCAATTCTCTTGCCTCAGCCTCCCGAGTAGCTGGGACTACAGGCATGCACCATCACACCTGGCTAATTTTTGTATTTTCAGTAGAGACCGGGTCACCATGTTGGCCCGGCTGGTCTCAAACTCCTCAGGTCATCCGCCCACCTCGGCCTCCCAAGGTACTAGGATTACAGGTGTGAGCCACTGCGCCTGGCCACTTTTCTTTTGAAACATAGTTTTAGTCTTTCACTCAGGCTGGAGTACAGTGGCACAATCTTGGCTCACTGCAACCTCCGCCTCCTGGGTTCAAGAGATTCTCCTGCCTCAACCTCCCGAGTAGCTGGGATCACAGGCTTGTATCACCACACCCAGCTACTTTTTGTATTTTTAGTAAAGCCAGGGTTTCACCATGTTGGCCAGGCTGGTCTTGAACTCCTGACCTCAGGCGATCCACCTGCCTTGGCCTCCCAGAGTGCTCACCCAGCTGGGTTTTTCTACCTTGGTTGTAAAAATTCATTTCCTGTCACCACCTAGATTCACAAATCTCAGGGTAGAAACTGGCCTTTTTCCCCCTCCTCTTTGAATTCATTGTCCCAAACGGCCACTGCCCTTTCCCTATTTTTTTTTTAAGACAGAGTTTCGCTCTTGTTACCCAGGCTGGAGTGTAATGGCGCGATCTCGGCTCACCGCAACCTCCGCCTCCTGGGTTCAGGCAATTCTCCTGCCTCAGCCTCCTGAGTAGCTGGGATTACAGGCACACGCCACCATGCCCAGCTAATTTTTTGTATTTTTAGTAGAGATGGGGTTTCACCATGTTGACCAGGATGTTCTCGATCTCTTGACCTCGTGATGCACCCGCCTCGGCCTCCCAAAGTGCTGGGATTATAGGCGTGAGCCACCGTGCCTGGCCCTGCCCTTTCCCTAAAGCAGGACAGAGGTCACATCTGCTTTGTCTTTCTGCACGGTGGCCACTGCCTGCCCCTCACCTCCCCTCTCCAGTTACAGTGACTGGAAGGGCCACAGAGGAAAGCCAGGCCCTAGGTCTTCATGGGCGTTGCTGGAGAATGTGCCTCCTGGCTGGTGGCTGTCACTCTTCTGTGCTCAGTAGGGCCTTGTGGAGGAGTCTAATTCCTCTGTCCTGGAAACCACCACTTAGTCCTTGAAAATATTCTTAGGTGATTTTAAGATGTCTCTCTCTGGTATTTTTTTTTTTAATCCAGCTCAGATTTGAATGCCCAAGGAATAAACAGTCTCTTGGATCTTGTATCTCTTCTTTTGTTTTTTAGAAAATAGCTTTTATTGATTTTTTTTTTCTTGCTACAAAGAGGTTGATGATTTTTGCAGAAAATTTAGGGACTATAAATAGGCAAAAAGAAGAACATAAAAACTACCTATAATTATTAATATTTTAGTATATTGTATAGCTCCCCAGCATATTTTTCAGTTTAAAAATTGAAATCATATTGTTTGTACCATCTTCTTTCTTTCCTTCCTTCCTTCCTTCCTTCCTTCCTTCCTTCCTTCCTTCCTTCTTTCTTTCTTTCTTTCTTTCTTTCTTTCTTTCTTTCTTTCTTTCTTTCTTTCTTTCTCCTTTTTCTTTCTTCTTTCTGCTTTTACTTTACAACATGTAATTACAATTTCCATCAGGTTGAGGGGTCCCCGTCAGGTCACTCTAAAGGGTTGGATAGCCCTTTTGAACAGATGGACCGTCATTTGTTTACGCAGTCGCCTACATTGTTTCCTCTGTCTCTGTCTGTAAAGAATGCTGTGGTGAACGTCCTTGGGTACTTTTGCCTGCAGACTTGGTGATTTCCTTGGGATGTGGCTCCAGAAGAGAATCACTGTGCCGAGGACACATTCTAAAGGCTACTGATCTAGATGGTCAGTTGCCTCCTAGACACACTGCATCGTATTTGGATTCTGTTGAGCCACATACTAACTCTTGTTCTTTTAAACACGGTAGTGTGTTTTTCCGACCTCTCTTTCCTAATGTTTCACTCTGGTCACACAGGTTGCCAAGGAAGGGCCTGAGAGACCCCCAGCACAGCTGACTTGTGAAAGGGAGTCTGCCATCCTGGTCCCTTGGTTTGCAATGGGAGCACAAGGGCTGGGCCCAAGGTCCCTGTCTCACCTTCTGTCACCCCAGGCAGCTGCAGGCCTGTGGCCTCCCAGGGAAACCTTCTCTGGTGCCAGTCCTTAGGGTACCTGAGGCAGAGAGCTGGCTTTGAGGATTCCAGAGTCTGTCAGAGAACGTAGGCTGGTCTTTCTTCCAAGAGAGTGCTCCTAAGCAAACATCCTGCCCTAATCCAGAGACCAGCTTAGTGCTTATGGTCGGGGAGAGGCAGAAGCTGAGGATTTCCTGTGCAGGCTTCAACCTCTGGCCTGAGACTCCCGGCCAGGAAAGCGCCTCTGCCGACTTTCAGCCCCGGGAAGCCCAGTTCTTCGTCATCACTTGGTGGGAACAGAAGGAAGTTCGATGGAAGGACTGAGGAAGTAGCATTTGCGTGGTCTAAATCGGACCTTCCTGTTCCAATCTTGACCGGCTCTTCCTCCTTTGCCTCTCTCTTCCTCCCGCGTGACTACGTTCTTCTAGGGCCTCTGGGGCCCTTCCTGTCTGCGGAGCTTCTTTCTTCCCTTTTCTCTCCTGCCAGCACCTAGGCTGGTGCCCACCTTCAGGACTGGGCACGCCCAGGCACCTCACTGCCCTTTCCCTCCTCCAGCTCTGCTCCCACCCGCCCTACACCCTTCCATCCAGGCTGGGCTGGCCCAGCTGAGGCCCGAGCTGCCTTCCCCCAAGAGACACAGCATGCCAGCTGCTGCCCGGATGGGTTACAAAAAACACAAACACAAACCCCCGCCCCTCGAGATGAGGGACGTTTTGGTTTATATGAACCTGATGGCTCATGTGTTGGAAATGAGAGGCGCAGGTTGGGAGAGGGAGGACGATGTCCCCTGGGGTGGGCTTTGTTTAAATTTTAATATGCTCTTCCTTTTTCTCAAAGTGCCAGCAACGGCTCCCAGCTCCTTTGTCATTTTAGCCCCGTTATCTGTCTGGTGGATGAAATCTCTTATCTGCCCAGTCCTCCCTCTCCTCCTGAATGGCGGGTTCCCCACCCACCTCCCCCCAACTTGTGACAGTGTTACAGATCCCGTTCTGCAAACTTAGATTCAGATGAAACTGTCACTTTGCTTCTTTAGTTGTTTAAGATTTGGGGAAAGTGGGGGTCCGTTTGTGATGGCGTTGGACCTACCAAGGGCAGGAGTAGTGGCCACTTTGGTGTCCTGTGAGAGAGAGGGTGGCACCCCACCCTTAGCAGCCTGGGGAATGTCAGCCCTAGGGGTGAGGTCTCGGCTCTGGGTTCCTTACAGTGGCATCAGACCTTTGCTCCAGTGTGCGTTCGAACTTCTGACCCAGCACCTCCTCAGCCTTGGGGAGCTCTCTCAGCTGCGTCCTTTGTCGGATGGGAACTGCATTCATTAGACGCAGAAACACAGAGCTGCTCTTTCCCCTACAAGCAGGCACAGATTGAAAAGGCCCCCACAGAAGCAGCTCAAAGGCCAGGGGAGGACCTCACCCTCTGGTCACAGGACTCAGGATTAGAGAAGCGTGGCTTTCAGTCTCGGCTTGCCATCTCCTAGCCATGATGAACACAGCCTCCCCGAGCCTTGGTGTCACAACCTGTGAAATGGGTTCATGAACCTACTATTCATAGCTGTGCTGTGCGTTTATATATAACCCATGGTTACTCCGATTACCTGCAGACCGTGGGGCTGTGAAGTCAGGAGAGAGGCCTGCACCATCCTGAATCCTGTTTTCTGGAAAATCTGCCTCCATTCAGTTAGCAAGCATTTCCCAACTACCTACCATGTGCTAAACTCTGTCATATTAAAGTGATTGGCATGGTCTGTTTCCCCAGTGAGCCCCAGTCCAAAAGGGATACTAGTATTGAATGTAGACACAAAAGCACAGGAAGTTAGCTCTTTGAATGTGCTGGGGACAGGGAGCTGTAGGGAAGACTGCTTGGTGGAGGTGGTGTCTAGCTGAGTCCTAGCAGACAAAGGAGGTATGGGGGGCTGGGTACAGTGGCTCACACCTGTAATCTCAGCACTTTGGGAGGCCGAGGCAGGTGGATCACCTGAGGTCAGGAGTCCGCGACCAGTCAGGTGAACGTAGAAAACCTCCGTCTCTACTAAAAATACAAAAATTAGCCAGGTATGGTGGCACATGCCTGTGATCCCATCTACTTGGGAGACTGAGGCAGGAGAATCTCTTGAAGCTGGGAGGCAGAGGTTGCAGTGAGCCAACATCAAACTACTCCACTTCAGCCTGGGTGACAGAGCAAGACTCCATCTCAAAAAAAAAAAACCCAAAAACAAAAATAAAAAAATTTTTTAAATTTAAAAATTATTTAAAAAAACCCCCAAAACAAAGGAGGCATGAGGGACTAAACTGTGCAAAGGCAGCAGGGGACACATTTGAGGGGTCAGAGAGGGATTGTGGCTGAGATGGCAGAAGATGAGGCTTCAGGTATAGGTGGGGACCAACTGAGAATGTGTCAGAATTGGACTTCATCCCGGGGCCCAGGAGGCCACCAGTGTGTTCTGAGCAAGAAGCAATATGGCGGCTCACTCTGGCATAGATCGGGGCACTTGGGGCTTGTGTCGCTAAATCCCTGTGGGGAAATTCCTTTGGAAATGTTGACCTGAGAGGTGAGAAACCCTCAGAGGAATCCATGTGGCACTTCTGCTTGACTTCCTTCTCATTTCGCCTAGAATTTCTGCTTTGCGCCAGCTGTTTACAGATAATTTACAAAGTTGCGTTAACAGGCTTGATCGTGTTTCTTAAAACTCACTGAGAAGTAACCCCAAGTAAAATTTTCCACCGGGGCATGTTCTGAATACATATTTATAGTTACTGAACCATGTGAGAATGTAGGAAGCTCTTTTGAAATGTTGCATGACATCTTCAGGTTGGGTTTTCCCCAGTCCTAGCAAGGGAAGGAGAAGGAGAATGAATGTCTGCCAGGCAGCTGCTAGAGGCTAGTCACTGATCTAGATTCTTTTAATTTAGTGACCCAGTGAGAAATAGCATTCCTATCCCCATTTTACAGACAGGGAAACTGAGGCTCATGAAGGTGGCTGCTTTCTCAAGGCCTCGCACCTATAAGGGGTGGTAGTGGGATTTGAACCCAGATACAATGAGTCCAAAGTTCACAATCCATCCGTTGAACCACTCTGCCACCCAGCTCCTAAGACCTGCCGGAAAGGTGAAGCAGGAGCTACAGGGGTGGCCAAGCCACTGGAGAGCCTGCTGACTTCTAGATAAAAACCAGAGCTGAAACACCTGCTCGGAAGCCTTCTGTTCTCCCTGCACAAGTTCTGCTGCTGGCGGGCACACTGCAAGCAGCCCTTCTCTGGGTATACTCTTCCAAAGAGTGATGGCTACAAGCTCTTGGCTACATTCTGAGTTGGGGGTTCAGCCTACTGCATGGAGCAGTAGGTGGGAAGTTGGTGCCTGTAGGTGGCATCATGTTGAACGTACACACTTGAAGGTGAGCCAGGCATAGTGGCTTATGCCCGTAATCCCCGTGACTCAGGAGGCTGAGGAAGGAAGAGCCCTTGAGCCCAACAGTTCAAGGCTGCAGTGAACCGTGATCATACCACTGCACATCAGCCTGGGTGACAGAGTAAGACCCCAACTCTATTAAATGCAAAATAAAACATAACTATGTTTGGCTGGGCACAGTGGCTCATGCCTGTAATCCCAACACTTTGGGAGCCCAAGGCATGTGGAGGTGGATCAGCTGAGTTCAGGAGTTCGAGACCAGCCTAAACAACATGGCAAAAAACTGGTCTCTACCAAAAATACAAAAAAATTAGCTGGGCATGGTGGCACACACCTGTAGTCCCAGCTACTCAGGATGCGGAGGTGGATGGATCACTTGAGCCTGGGAGGTGGAGGTTGCAGTGAACTGAGATCGTGCCACTGCACCACTGCAGCCTGGGTGACCAAGTGAGACCTTAAAAAAAAAAAAAAAAGGCATTCTTGGAGGTGACAACACAGAACACCCAGCCATGGAGTAGTGAGGGGGCAGGAGGCCAGGTTTATAGAAAAAGGATGTCTGTGGCTCTTTTCCCTGGCCAAATGATGCCACCCTCCTTCACACCCCTTACCTAAGCCATGCCTGCCCAGGTGGTGAACGTTCCCTGGGGCACTGGGCACCTAGCATCTCTGCCTGTTGCTGCAGTTTTGGTGCATGCCGTATTTTCTTGGCCATCTTAACACATTCCCCCTCAGAAAGAGCACCTCAGTTAGGATTCTCCTTTCCTGACTTTCTAGGAGTGTCTTCCTCACTCTTACTGCTATGGACCCAGACCCCACGAGACTGTGTTGGGGGTAGGGGAATCAATGCCAGTTGAGACAGCTGATGGCCCCCCCCACCTGTGCTCCTTCCTGCAGTCTGGTCCAGAGGATTCAGATCCATGAGGATGGGCGGCAGAGAAACAGATGACCCCAGCATAGGTCGACTCCCAGTAATGGCAGTAGATGTGTGGGGAAAGAGCGAAGGTGGCCGCAGGGCCGTGGCACACCTGGGCAGTGCATTTGCCCATCACCTGGTTGTGAAACGATGGGTCCCTCAGGAACTACTCTGACTGTGGCTTCCTTGCCAGGTCCCCTCTTCCTTTCATACTTTATCGTCTCTGCTGCCTCTCCCTCCACCTCCATCCTTGCTTTCTTCTGAGGGTTGGCAGGTAGATCTCCCTTCTAGATCAGCCTGCCAAATCTCCCTGGAGGTTTTGGCCACCTCCTCTTTAGAGCTGCTGGTGTTGGGGTGGGTGGCAGGAACCGAGAGAACAGCCAAGGTGAACATCGGCCACCCTTTCCATTAGCAAAGGCCTGCACCGGGGGTGTGGCCAGAGTTCTCTGAATTCACTTGGTCTCTGGGAATTGACCTTGGGTTGAAAATGCCGTTTTTCACGTGGGCTTTAGAGATCAGGTTGAGGAAGAAAGAAAATAGCCTGCACAGTGTGTTGCTGTGGTTGGATTTCACATACTATTTTTTATATACCTGTCTTTTCCCTGTGAGAGAAAACAGCCATGAGTAGGTGAGGTAAGCTTATTTGAGAGTGGGGGGCATTAAGGGGTGAGGGTGGTTCCACAGGGTACCCCTGAGAATGAATTTCCTCCTCCAGAACAAGGGTGACCAGGTCCCTCACAATTATTCCTCAAATTCTTGGTGGCTGCCTTCACTCTGGCCAGGGAGAGCTTTGTAGAACTACTGTTCCAACAGCAGAGCATGGAGCATGTCTGTGACCAAACCTTGGGCAAATACGTATTTAAAGGAATTTTATTATTAAAATAGTCAACCTTATGGTTTATGTAGAAAATCTGATAAATATAGACAAGGGCGAAGACAGTACAAATTGCCCCATAATCTCACAAGCTGGAAATAACACCATTTAGTTCTTTTGTGTATTTCCTTGCTGCCTTTTTCATTGCATATATGTAAACACACTGTATTTTAAACATGGTTACAAGCACATTGAACTTTATATCCTTTTTTTTTTTCATTTGACATAACATTATGGCAAACAAAAACTTTAAAAAAAACACATGGGCTTTGCAAGTGAGCATATGCTTTGCAAACATTTCTGTCAGCTACCAGTAACCAACTGCAAGAACTCACATTCTACCCAAAACAGAAATTGTGCCAGTCGGGGAGTCCTTTGATCACCATGCAGTAAACCTCGCCAAAATGCTGTAAATTTAAACAAACTAAAACTAAAACCCAACCACTTGAAAAAATTTAAAGCACTTAAACTGCTATTGGTTCAAGGAAGAAATAAAGAATGTACTGACAAATATTTAGAAAGCATTGGAAACTAGAATGCCACATACCCAAACCTATGGGAGACAGCTGGCACTATTCTCGTTGCCTTAAATGCTTTTATTATTAAAAAGGGAGAGAGAAAAAGAATAAACCAAGCATTCAGCCTGAGTGCTTAGGAAAAAAAGAATAAAAACAATCCCTAAGGAAAACAGGAGGGGAAAAAATAGTGATGATAAAGGCAGAAATAGATGAATTAGGAAACAGAAACAGTGAAATTAGCAAACATATCCAAGAGCGGAATCTGTTTTTAAACAAACTGCAGAATAGACTAACCCCTGGCAAATCTGTTTGAGAAATAAAAGGGAGACATGAAAAAAAGCAAGGGAATGAGAGAGGGGACATTGCAATAGATAGAATAGAGGAATTTAAAAATAATAGAAATTTATGCGCAATAATAGGTATAATTTCAAAATCTCAATTAAGGCATGCATCTCTGAAAATGTATATGTTGCTAATTGAGAAAAAAATTTCAATCCTTATGAAAGCACTGCCCCTCTGCCCACCAAAGACATTGGTCCGGAGTGTTTTTGCTAGTTAATTATTTCGAATTTGATAATACTGATAATGCTAAGCTGTTCCATAGCTTAGCAAAAGATGGAGAGCTCTTCAATTCTTTCTACAAAGCAAAATAAGCCTGATATTAAACATGGCAAAGAGACTTTTGAAGAATGAAAATGCTGGGGAGGAAATAGAATTCAATAATATATTAAACAAGTCATCCACCATAACCCAGCAGGGCAGGAGGAAAGAATAGTCAATATTAGGAAAGCTTAATATAGTAACTACGTCACACTAATGCATTAAAGAAGTAAAACCGTATTGTTTCCAATATGTGCCGGGGAAAAATGATTAAGCTGAACAGCCATGCTTACCTAATCAATACAGCAAAAAGGAACACAAGGGTGCATTTTTAGCATAATCAAAAATATCTGTTTCAAACCAATAACCAATTCTGTAATTAACTTCAACACTAGAGGCATTCTTATGGAAACCAGTAACAAAATAAGGAGGCCTGCCATTACCATCACGATTTAACATTGCTTTTCCCACTTTAGTCAACATAATACTGAAACAGACTTGTTAAAATATAATAAATATTATAAATAAGGAGTAAAAGTAATAAATAACAGTAAGTAAAATCTCTACCAAATCTTAGGCTAGAAGTTGATTTCCAAAGTTTAGAATCAATAGCAAAAGTCATCAGGAAATTCAACAGATTTGACTACATTAAAAAATTGTAGGCCGGGCGCAGTGGCTCACGCCTATAATCCCAGCACTTTGGGAGGCCGAGGCGGGTGGATCACGAGGTCAAGAGATTAAAGAGATTAAATTGCAATTTGTTTTTTGTTTTTGGTTTTGTGGTTTCTTTTTTTTTTGAGACTGTCTTGCTCTGTCACCCAGGCTGTAGTGCAGTGGTGAGATCTCAGCTCACTGCAACCTCCACCTCCCAGGTTCAAGAGATTCTCCTGCCTCAGCCTCCCAAGTAGCTGGGATCACAGGGATGTGCTACCAACCCGGCTACTTTTTGGATTTTTCACCATATTGGTCAGGCTGGTCTCGAACTCCTGACCTTAAATGATCTACCTGCCTCTGCCTCCCAAAGTGCTGGGATTATAGACGTGAGCCACCATGCCCAGCCATTGACATTTTAATTCTACCAAGATCCTATATAGATTAGTTTTTAAAAATCAAGATTTGAAGTGGGGGGGTGGTCTGAAAATTTTTTTTTTAAAAATCAAGATTTAAATTTGAAGGCCTTGCTCATGCTTGTAATATTAGCACTTTGGGAGGCCAAGGCAGGCTGATCATTTGAGGCCAGGAGTTCAAAACTAGCCTGGCCAATATGGCAAAACATTGCCTCTACTAAAAATACAAAAATTAGCTGGATGTGGTGGTGTATTCCTGTAGTCCCAGCTGCTCGGGAAGCTGAGGCAGGAAAATCACTTGAACCTGGGAGGTGGAGGTTGCAGTGAGCAGAGATGATTGCGCCTTGGTGATGGAGTGAGGTGCTATCTTGAAAAAATAAGATTTAAACGAAGACAATATGCACAGACAATATAATTAGCAAACAAATGCACGACATAAAGAAAACGCTGAATGGTAAGCTCCATGTGGCTAGGGACCAGGTCAGTTCTGCATGGCAGGTACTATATCGACTTCATATTTGTTGACTGTATGGAATTAATATTTGTTGAATAAATTAATGAATGCAGTACAAGTTTTTAAAATAGGCCATTTTAAACTTTTTAAATTAGAAGGGTTTTTAAAAGAGTTTATTATGAAAGAATTTCAACTATTGAGAGAAATGGAAAGAATATTACAGTAAATACCCATACACCAATGGCTGAGATTTTAAAGATGTTAACATTTGCCATATTTGCTTCATCTGCTGTTGGAAATAGATGCTCAGTGCCACTAAGAAAAATTAGCATTGAGCTGGGCGCGGTGGCTCACACCTATAATCCCAGCACTTTGGGAGGCTGAGGCAGGTGGATCACGAGGTCAAGAGATCGAGACCATCCTGGTCAACAAGGTGAAACCCTATCTCTACTAAAAATACAAAAATTAGCTGGGCATGGTGGTGCACGCCTGTAGTCCCAGCTACTCAGGAGGCTGAGGCAGGAGAATTGCCTGAACCCAGAAGGCGGAGGTTGCGGTGAGCCGAGATCGTGCCATTGCACTCCAGTCTGGGTAACAACAGCGAAACTCCGTCTCAAAAAAAAAAAAAAAGAAAAGAAAGAAAAATTAGCCCTGAGACAAAAGACCTTTTAGCAACACAATTTTTACTTCCTGGACTGCAGAAAGAGTACTCCCACTAGCCATCTTGCCATGAGAGTACAAAGAACAAAGGAATACACACAAATTTATTCCTTACGCATTTGGGGTTGTTCTTACTGCTGTGTCTGTTCTCCATTGGCTGGAGTCAGACCTCACACACTAAAGTAAAACCTGATTGGCTAACAGCTTAAAACTTTTCTAAACAGGTAAAAGCAATGGAGAGCTGGGACATGCCTGTGGGCACGTCCAGCACAGATATCTTGGTTAAAGTACAAGGATGTAGAATGTACTACGTGCCTGTAAGCATGGCATATTTAGCAGCTACATAGGATAGGGCTTAGCAAAGAGTTATTAGCACACTTATGATTTATTCTTTAATAAGAAAGGAAACTTGAAAAAGGAACTTTCCTACTTCCCATGTCTGCACAGGTATATATTTTTTTCCTGAACCATTTTAAAGAAAATGACAGAGCACACATCATTTCTCCCTTCAATACTTAGGCATACAAATCCTCAGTCACCCAGAACATAGCAATCTGTATGCAGGAGATGGAAGCCGCTGCCCTGTGCTCCAAGGGTGTCTCTGCAGATCGTCCCAGTCCTTGAGAAGGTGTTTAGCAGTCACAGACATGACCTTCTGATATGTAAGAGAAGAGAAAACACACATTTATTGTGTATCACGCCCTGTGCTGGAAGTTTTACCAGTGGTCTACTGTTTAAATCCTTTCCATTATGCCCATTTTATGGGAAATTGAGGTTCAAAGAGGTTAAGTAACTTGCCCCATTTGACACAGTGTCATTATTCACCCAGTCCCTTCTGATGCTTTCTAATTACATGACATTTGCCCCTTCCCTTTATCTTCTCTGTGCGTGAATGCGTGGAGGTGATATATTGGGTAGTGTGGACAGACTGGAAGCAGTCTGAATGTCCTCCAGTGCAAGGATTGGCAGGCAAGCAGGGATCTGTGTCTGTGGGGTCTGACTGGGAATGTGGGTGATCGATTATGAACATGCAACATGGAAAATCGCTTGTCGCATCCAGGTAATAAGTAGGACACCAGATGGTATACACCGTGACCAAAACCATGTGAAAAACACGTGCATGAAGAGGACCAGGAAGAAATATACAGGAAGTGGTTGCATTAGGGTGAGAAGGAGTATTTATGTTTTCCTCTCCATCTTTCTCAAACCTTTTGTAATGGGTGGTTTTATTAATTTTGTAATGGAAAATGTTAATTTAAAAGCAATCTATTTGCAGTTTAGTAAGCTCACAGCAGGGAAAGGCTGTGCTCTGTTTATTGCTGTTACTTTTTTCCAGCACCTGCCCCCATGCCCGGAAATTCTGGAGATAATAAATGTAGGTGTCTAACAAGTGTCCACTGGGACACCTCTCAGAGGACCTTCACCCAGGAACATATTTGCACAGGGTTTCCCTCAGCTGGGGAAGGTTTCCCCAGGAGAGCACCAGCCAGGTGTGTGTCATGGGATATATTTACAGGGTGGTGAGCTCTCCTGGTCCAACCAAAAAGTCCCCAGCATGGCGTAGGGGCCATTCTGGCCATTTGGCATCACCAGGGCAGTTAGCGCTGATACAAAACACAGAGAACGAACAAACTCCAGCTCAGTCGGAAATAGATTTTATGCCATTCTGGGACTTTCATGCTTGATAATAGACTGAGCATGGTGGTTCACACATGTAATCCTAGTACTTTGGGAGGCCAAGGTGGGAGGATCACTTGCAGCAAAGAGACTGAGACCAGCCTGGGCAAAGTAGCAAGACCCAGTCTCTACAAAAAATTGTTTCGTTTGGTTTTTTTTTTTGAGAGGAAGTCTCGCGCAGTCGCCTAGGCTGGAGTGCAGTGGCACAATCTCGGCTCAACCTCTGCAACCTCTGCTTCCCAGTTCAAGTGATTCTCCTGCCTCAGCCTCCCAAGTAGCTGGGACTGTGCGCGTGCCACCATGTCTGGCTAATTTTTGTATTTATATTTGTACTTGTATTTTTTGACACCATCTTGGCTCACTACAAACTCTACCTCCTGGGTTCAAGTAATTCTCTTGCCTCAGCCTCCCGAATAGCTGGGACTACAGGCGCACGCCACCATGCCCAGCTCATTTTTATATTTTTAGTAGAGACGGGGTTTCACCATCCATGTTGGCCAGGATGGTCTCGATCTCTTGACCTCATGAACCGCCTGCTTCGGCCTCCCAAAGTGCTGGGATTACACACGTGAGCCACCATGCCTGGCCTAATTTTTGTATTTTTATTAGAAATAGGGTTTCACCAGGTTGGCCAGGTTGGTCTTGAACTCCTCACCTTAGGTGATCAGCCCACCTTGGCCTCCCAAAGTGTTGGGATTACAGGCATGAGCCACCGCACCTGGCCAAAAAAAAATTTTTTTGTTGTTTTTTTGGTTTAAAAGTTTTTAAAAATTAAAAAGATTAAACTTGATAATCACAACCATATAAGCAGCTATTTATTAAGTGCTTACTAAAGGCCAGCCTGAGTGTATTTACAGACATTCCTTATTTGAGTTTCACAGCAACCGTAAGAATTAGCTTATTGGCCAGGAGCAGTGGCTCACACCTGTAATCCCAACACTTTGGGAGGCTGAGGCAGGCGGATTACCTGAAGTCAGGCGTTAAAGACCAGCCTGACCAACATTGAGAAAACTTGTCTCTACTAAAAATACAAAATTAACTGGGTGTGGTGGTGCATGCCTCTACTCCCAGCTACTTGGGAGGCTGAGGCAGGAGAAAGAATTGCTGGAACCTGGGAGACGGAGGTTTCAGTGAGCTGGGATTACTCCATTGCACTCCAGGCTGGGCAACAAGAGTGAAACTCTGTCTCAAAAAAAAAAAAAGAAGAAAGAAAAAGAATTAGCTATCAGCCCCATTTTATAGATGCAGAAACTGAGGCACAAAGGAAGGAAAGCAGGATGGGTTTCAGGGCAAGTATTGGTTTTGCCAAGTACTGACCTTCAGCAAATCACAAGCCTTCTGGGCTTTCATTTCCTCATCTCTGAAGGAAACAGCTGGCAGGAGTTGAGTGTTTACCATGTGCCAGGCCCTGGCCACACACTCTGAACACATGCTCCAGAGTGCGAGTTAACCAGTGGGGGAGGGGCACCAAGCAGGCCCAGCTGATTGTGAATGGGAGACCACCTTCCTCACAAGGCAGTCACACACACCCAGCAGGAGTGGGTCCTATCTGTGCTACAGAGAGGGTTGGGTCAGATTTTTTTTTTTTAATTGCTTAATGGATTGTTTGGTAACAAATGGATACCAACAAACATGAACTTGCTTTTTCTTTCTTTAAATAAACATTTGAATTGGTGACTTAGGCTCATCTCAAGAGGTTGTGGACCCGACTGTTGGTGTGATGGGTTTTGTTCATCAATGAGAATGATGGTTGTGAGTTTAATCGAGCACACTGAGGGAAGTGAATGAAAAAGAACACACAAACTGTGTGAGAATAGTGACTAATCATAGACTCCAGGGATTGAAATGTACCCTGAGGGGATCCAGGATGCAGCATCACCAGGAGCTTATTATTAATAGAAACCAAGGATCTCTCACAGCACCCTAGACCTGCTGAACCAGAATCTGCATTTTAGCAAGATCCCCCGGGTGATTCCTCAGCACATTTGAGAAGCGGTGCTCTCATTTGTCCTGTCTCCTTTGAGGAAATCGGAAGGCTAGAGAGGTTAAGTGAGGATACGCAGGAAGTTCTAAAAACTGTAACTCTGGTCTCTCAACGCCAGGCCTTTGCACAGCACTTGCCCCATGGGAGAAACACAGTTGGTTTTGTTTTAGCATGTTTTGCATTCCCAAGACAGCCCATCTCTCTTGTTTTCATTGTGTTGGGTGGGGGGGTGGTCATCAGTGGCTGCGGTCATCTCTTACTCCCTGCTGGGGGGCTTGTGAAATGCAGTTGCCTGGAGCCAGCCCCAAATCCACGGCATCTGGGTAGGTGTTAACCAAGTGCCTGCATCTTAAGATATCCTCAGGTATTCCTAGGTGCTAGTGTTGTTACAGCCAGTGTGGGCCAACTATGAACTGTTACGGTGCCCTTTTTATTCCAAAATTAATCCTGCAGATGCTTTGGCTAGTATAAACCAAAGTCCAGTTTCCTCTGAAGGAAGCCAGCGCAGCTACCAACATTATATTGTGTACTGAGTACTGACTGTGTACTGTGAATTTCTTTTTTATGAGACAGAGTTGCGCTCTGTCACCCAGTCTGGAGTGCAGTGGTGTGATCTCAGCTCACTGCAACCTCCATCTCCCCGGTTCAAGCAATTATTTTGCCTTCAGCCTCCTGAGTAGCGGAGATTACAGGTGCCCACCACCATGCCCAGCTAATTTTTGTTTTTGAGACGGAGTTTCGCTGTTGTTACCCAGACTGGAATGCAATGGCACAATCCCGGCTCACCACAACCTCTGCCTCCTAGGTTCAAGCAATTCTCCTGCCTCAGCCTCCCGAGTAGCTGGGACTACAGGCGCACACCACTATGCCCAGCTAATTTTTGTATTTTTAGTAGAGATGGGGTTTCACCATGTTGACCAGGATGGTCTTGATCTCTTGACCTCATGATCCACCCGACTCGGCCTCCCAAAGTGCTGGGATTATAGGCGTGAGCCACCGCACCTGGCCAATTTTTGTATTTTTAGTAGAGATGGAGTTTTGTCACATTGGCCAGGTTGGTCTCAAACTGCCAACATCTGGTTATCCTCCTGCCTCAGCCTCCCAAAGTGCTGGGATTATAGGCATGAAGCTCAGCAGATCACATATGATTGAATTTAAATTCCAGGACACTCAAATGTATTATTTTCTATTTTTAGGAGCGAGGAGAAGCAGACTGGATAACCTTGGAAAATTAAATGCCCCCCAAAATGTAACAGTTAAGAATGTGAGGCTGGGCACAATGGCTCATGCCTGTAATCCCAGCACTTTGGAAGGCCAAGGTGGGAGGATCACTTGAGGTCAGGAGTTTGAGACCAGCCTGGCCAACATGGTGAAACCCCATCTCTACTAAAAATATAAAAATTAGCTGGACATAGTGGTGGGCGCCTGTAATCTGAAGTACTTGGGAGGCTGAGGCAGGAGCTTGCTTGAACCCAGCAGTAGAGGTTGCAGTGAGTTGAGTCATGCCACTGCACTCCAGCCTGGGCAACAGAGTGAGACTCCGTCTCAAAAAAAAAAAAAAATGTGTGTTTGGCCTGTATAGTGTTAGCTACTCAGGAGGCTAAAGCAAGAGGTTTCCTTGAGCCCAGGAGTTCAAGGCCAGTGTGGGCCACATAACGAGAACTTGTCTCTAAAAAAAGAAAAAAATAAGTGTGTGTTTGAAATTTGAGGCTCTCCTACTTGTGACTAGAATTTTCATTTAAGAAGAAATATATATCTGCATATAAAATTCTTGAATTGATAAACATTCTTGTATATTCTTAGGCTAGTGCCCCATGAAAGTAGGAGCCATGCAGGAGCGCTGCTCTGCACAATAGTCACCAACCAGGGGGAGCTAAATACAGAAAATGGGATCAATGTTCAGAAACTTTCATGGTTTGACGTCTGCAGGATGACATCCAAATGGGCAATCAGCAGCTGCTCCTCAAACAGGGTATGGGCCGGGATGGGCACCGTCGATCCCACGTGGCGGGACTCTGGACTAACTGCCTGTTGATGTTGGATCTGAGAGGGATTAAAATGAATAAAACTGACCTTTCTTTAAGAGTTTGAGAAGCACTGGGGCTGTGAAGGGTGGGAAAGTTTGCAGTAGGAGGTGTGCTTTTAAGCTTAGCATGTGGAAAGCAGGAGAGAGTTGGACAGGCAGAAGCCCTATCGCCCCACCTCCCACTCCAGATACCAGCAGGCCAGTTCAGGCAGATGGGTTGGCTCCCAGGCTAGCTGGCTGCTCCATGTTGAGTCTTCTGCCTTGCCCACAGATTTCTTTTTCCTGTTTTTTTAGAGACAGGTTCTCACTCTGTTGCCCAGGCTGGAATACAGTGTCTGTTCACAAGCATGATCATAGCTCACTGTAGCCTTTACCTCCTAGGCCTGAGCAATCCTCCCAACTCCCAACTCAGCCTCCTAAGTAGCTGAGATCATAGGCATGCACTACCATGCCCAGCTTGTCCCATAGACTGGGTTTGACTCTGGTCACAGAGCCTGTGGAGAGATTCCTTGATTCAAGGTAGAGGTGGCCTTCCTTTTTTTTTTTTTTTTTTTGAGACTGAAGGCCAGGGTAGCCCAGGTTCAAGCGATTCTCCTGCCTCAGCCTGCTGAGTAGGAGGGATTACAGGCGTGTGCCACCACGCCCAGCTAATTTTTGTATTTTTAGTAGTGACAGGGTTTAACCATGTTGTCCAGGCTGATCTGGAACTCCTGACCTCAGGTGATCCACCTGCCTCGGCCTCCCAAAGTGCTGGGATTACAAGCGTGAGCCACTGCGCCTGGCCTAAAGGTGGCCTTCTGAGTCCTGCCTGGCCTGGGTCTGGAAACATGGGCACTACCAGCCATGTGACCTTGGCCCACTGGCTTTCTTTCTCTGCCCCTCAGAGTTTAGAAAATAAGAATGGCCAGGCATGGTGGCTGACACCTATAATCCCAGCACTTTGGAAGGCCAAGGCAGGCAGATCACTTGAGGTTAGGAGTTCAAAATCAGCCTGGCTAACATGATGAAACCCCATCTTTACTAAAAATACAAAAACCAGCCGGGCTTGGTGGTGCACACCTGTAGTCCCAGCTACTTGGGAGGCTGAGGTGAGAGAATCTCTTGAACCCGGGAGGCACAGGTTGCAGTGAGCCGAGATCACACACTCCAGCGAGAGCGACAGAGTGAGTCTGCCTCAAAAGAAAAAACAGAGGAATGACTGTCACTCCTGGAGGGGTTCTTTTGCCAGATATAAAAAAGATACCACATGCGAGAGGCTCCATACACGATGTGCACCAGGAAAGGGAGGACTTCTTCGTGTTATTTGAAAAAGTGGATTGCATTGTAGGTCCCCAGGAAGTTGCCAGCTGTCCTTCCTGTTTCCAAAGTCCTTCCTCTGTGTGTGTGTGTGTGTGTATTCTGTGTCTGTGGTGGTGGCCGTGTGTGTGTGCACATGTGTGTGTATTCTGTGCCTGTGGAGTGTGTGTGTATGCTGTGTCTGTGGGATGTGTGGGGTGTGTGTGTGTGTGTGTATGCTGTGTGTGTGTGGTGTGTATGTGTGTGTGTGTATATTCTGTGCCTGTGGGATTTGTGTGTATGGGGTGTGTATGTGTGTGTATATTCTGTGTCTGTGGAATGTGTGTGTGTATTCTGTGTCTGTGGGATGTGTGTGTGTGTGGCATGTGTGTGTGTGTATTCTGTGCCTGTGAGATATGTGTGTGTGTGGTGTGTGTATTCTGTGGCTTTGGAATGTGTGTGTATGTGTGTGTATTCTGTGCCTGTGGGATGTGTGGTGTGTGTGTGTGTATTCTGTGCCTGTGGGATGTGTCTGTGTGGTGTGTGTATTCTGTGCCTATGGGATGTGTGTGTGTGTGGTATGTGTGTATCCTGTGCAGGTGGGGTGTGTGTGTGGTGTGTATTCTGTGCCTGTGGGATGTGTGTGTGTGATGTGTATTCTGTGGCTTTGGGATTGTGTGTGTGTGTGTGCGTGTGGTGTGTGTATTCAGTGCCTGTGGGATGTGTGTATTCTGTGCCTGTGGGATGTGTGTGTGCGGTGTGTGTGTGTCGTGTGTGTATTCTGTGCCTGTGGGATATGTGTGTGTGTGGTGTGTGTATTCTGTGGCTTTGGGATGTGTGTGTGTATGTGTGTGTGTGTATATCCTGTGCCTGTGGGATGTGTCTGTGTGTGGTGTGTGTGTGTGTATTCTGTGCCTGTGGGATGTGTCTGTGTGGTGTGTGTATTCTGTGGCTTTGGGATGTGTGTATGTATGTGTGTGTATTCTGTGCCTTTGGGATGTGTGTGTGTGTGTGGTATGTGTGTGTATCCTGTGTGTGTGTGGTGTGTGTGTATTCTGTGCCTGTAGGATGTGTGTGTGTGGTGTGTGTATTCTGTGGCTTTGGGATGTGTGTGTGTGTGTGTGTGGTGTGTATTCAGTGCCTGTGGGATGTGTGTATTCTGTGCCTGTGGGATGTGTGTGTGCGGTGTGTGTGTGTCATGTGTGTATTCTGTGCCTGTAGTGATGGTGGCCGTGGTGTCGTCAGCAGCCGGGTTGTCAGGAAACAGCCATCAGTTTCCTGCTGATTAACTCAGTTCCTGGAGGGCCCTCCCTAGCAGCGGGGGAAAGCTGGCAGCTTGGCTGAGCCTCCTCTGGCCTCTGGCTCCCCAACCTGCTCTCCTCGCCCCCTCTGAGCAGCCCACCTGCCCTGCTACTCTAAGCCCAGGACACCTCCGGCAGCGCAGGCCTCCTGAGCCTCTTTGTTCTGGCCATGGGCGGGGCGCCGGCTCCATCTGCCTCAGGCTTTGCCTGCAGGTGCTTTTCCTTTGCACACCTGGCACCTGTCAGGGACTTAGACCTCTTCCAAGTCGCCCCTAGGTTGGGCCTAAGAGATTTGGATCATTTGAGTTGCCAGCCCTTAGAAACGATGCTGTGAGGCCCTCTGCTCACTCAGAGAAGGAGGCTTGATGGCTGGGGCCCCAGGGCTCCCTGCTGGTAGAAGGGGTGTCTGGAGGGCCTCTGCCTTTGGTCATCAGAAGGAGTTCTGGCAAGGGAAAGAGACCTATGCAGTACTGGGGTTTTGGATCCCTCGAATGAAGGACCAGGCAGAGAAGAGGGGCACTGCTGGGGGATGCGGGGGCTGGGCCAGGCTGGGCACAGGCCTGTGGACGTGGTGATTGGCCATATCTGCCTCAGCACTTCACATGGGGACTTGGCAACCACACTCGGCCCTGGTGCATGGTGTGGGGACTGAGACATGGTCTTGGTCTCAGACATCCCAGCTTTCGGCTGCCGGCTGCCAGTGGCTCGCTGTGGCTTCCGGCCGGGGCTCAGCATCGGCTGTCCAGCTCTCCCAGCGGTGACATCTCCACCCTGGACCTATCAGCCCATCAGCTCCCAGGTGTGGACAGGTTTGCACAGTTGCTCCAGCTCCCTCTGCAGTGGGCCGGCATGGAAGGCAGGACCCCAGGGCTGGGTGGGTGTTAGCAGCTGGCTCTCAGGCCTCAGCACCATCGTGCTTCTCAGGTGCGGGATGGGTCAGGACTATGTGCTTAGCACCCGGCAGACCCTCGTAGCTTCTTAAATGATGACACCTTCTAGCACACACACAGCTCATCTGACTCAGACCGGGCTCTCTAGCTGGGGTGGGAAGCCCTGTACTTCCTAATACCTGGTGGCTGAGTCAACAACACGGGGACGTGTATTTGGATAGCAAACAGCGATGAGCAGCGGAGCCAGCCCACTGCCTTCCTGCACCCGCCTTCTAGCAAAAATGTCCTCTGGAAAGGTCAGCCAGGACTGGCTACATAATTTTCAGGGCGAGGTGCAAAATGAAAATGCAGGCCCCATGTTTGAAAATTAGTAAGAGTTTAAAGAACAGCAGAGCACGAAACAAGTGAGGGTTCTTCTACACATGGGGCCCCAGGCAGTGGCACCATGGCACGCCCCCAAGGCAGGCTGGAGTCAGCATTTCCCAGCCTTGTGATGTCCTGTTGCTTCTGAGGGTGGCGGGATTGGGTCCTCTTTGGTAGAAGAGGGACTTGGCATCCTGAGACGCCCTCGCCCCGCCCGGCCTCACGAGCGGCTTTCTCAGGGGCTGGAGTGACCTCCGCTTCCAAGTGCAAACTCTTCACCTTCTCCTTTTTGTTCTTCTCTAACCTGTTTCCTTCTTTCTTTGTGAACTCAGAAAGCTTTGAGACTCCCCTCCCGTTCCTCTTTCTTCCCCTCCGCTCCTGCCGCTCACTCCCCACCCCCCACCCCTGCCTCTGTTTCTCTGTTTCTCTCTTCCTCTTTCCTTCCCTTGCTTGTATCTGGGGGAGCCCTTCACAGGTTTCTGTATAACATTCTCAGCCATTCACTTGGCGCCATTCAGTTTTAATGTTCCTTTGAATGACACCAAGCGAGTGCTCCTTGGGTTTCTGAAGCCTCTTTCTGAAGTGGCTGAGGGACGTCCCCTCAGTGGCCTCTGGCTCTGTCCAGATGGTCTCTGCCCATTGGGAGCCTGGAATGAATTCTCATTGTGAGCGTTCGTCACTCACCACCTCCTCCCCACATTCAGCTGTCAGTCCTACTGGCCTCCATGGAAAGAAAGTCTGCTCCATTCTTTCTAGTGATGAACCTGGCTATGGTTCCCAAGGTCTGTGGCTCCATGCAGGCTTCAAGCTGGGGGTGGGGCAGGGCATGGGAAAGGGTTAAATAGATAAGCCCAGGACACTGTCCTGGCTCCCCTCGTCCTCCTCTTGACACAGGAACCAGAAGGGTCTTCAGCAACATGCATGGGATCGTGTCACTTCCTGGCTTCCTGTGGCTGAGAGTGAATCCAGACACCGATGCCTCAGTGACCCCATCTCCAGCCACGGTTCTCAGTTCCACATCAGGGAATTCTCCGCCTCCTGGAGAGGCAGACCAGGTTGCTGAAGAGGCTCTTCAAGCACGTTTGGAAGAATGCAAGGATTCTGGAGAGGTGGAGAGGAGGAGGAGAGGAGCACAAGCAAGGGTGGCTCCAGGGCCAGGCTGGAGACGGGAGGTCAGGCATGTCGGGGAGGAGGGAAGTGGGGCTGGGTAAGAAGCCCAGCTCAGCATGGAGGACCTGGCGGGGGCTCAGGTTGGGGGTGGAGTGTGTCAATCCTGGTCCACGCTGGAGCCATTGGAAGAGCTTTTAAAATTATCAAAGTTGTTACAGGTCATTCCCCAGGTGGGCCACACACTGTTTCTAGGTTTAGTTCTCCAACCCTTCTTCCTGATCCTCCCCTTAGAAAAAAATTACCCAAGTCCCTGGGGCTAAGTCAGCCTGGGTGTTGGCACTGGCATTTGCCCTCCCAGGGCCAGCAGGGCTGGGAAACCTCAGTGGGCTTTAGCAACTGGCAGAAACTGCCCCGTGCACTGGGGCTTTTCTCCGCTGATGGGAAGGCTCCCTTGCTCCGTCAGCCCCAGGCCCCTGGACAGAAGGAACTCAGCAGAGATGTCCCTAGAGAGTCAGCCGGAAGGGACCTAGTTCAGAAGGGGAAACTGAGTCTTGGTCACCAGCGAGTACCACCACCGGGTAACAGAGCTTGGGCTTTCAGCCTTGGACACCACTGGCTAGGATGGAGCGAGGGCTGAACTGGAATGCTTCCGAGGAAATGATCTCCAGCCTGAGTATGCCACGGTTATGAGAGCGTCTTCAGCACTCATAAGCATCACAGGCTGGATCCCATTCTCTGGCCTTTGGATGTGGGGTGCCAGGATCTGTGTGTAAAGATGAGGGAGGCAGGGCTACTGGCCTCAAAGAACTCCAGGGGGCAGTGGGCCCAAGCATAGAGTATTCTAATATGGTTGCTAGGCTTCCAGAGCTGTAAGAGCCAGGCTTGAGCAGGGAGAGAATTCCCCGAGGGAGGCCTTGATGAGGGAAGAGGCAAGTGAGGGTTTGGTGTCTCTACATCCACAGGCCTGGCCTTCCAGCCAGCGTGCTGTACCAAAGTGAATGCTGGGGCCGCTATGTGGTACCCAGACACTGATTTCCCCTCGACCCTCCATCAGCTGGTGAGTCTGTGATGGTTTGGAACAGCCTTGCCCAGTTACCCCAGCACATGGTCCAAACATGATTTTCTATGTATGCCATGCAGCCAGGGGCACTGCAGCAGGCCGCTCTCTTTATCACCAGCGTGGGGCAGTTTGGGGAACAAGCCAAAGGCTGGCCCCACAGACGCAAAGAACAAGTCACAACTCACCCACGTGGTGTGTTTTCTCGTAACTTTTTATTTCGAAATTTTCAATCACAGAAAAGTTAAGAACCTTCATCCAGATTCACTCATTGCTGCCATTTTGCCACGTTTTCTTTATCTCATTGTCTTTCACGTGGTTTCGCGGAGTCATTTGAAAGTTGCAGGCAGCATGCTGCTGAGTACGTCAGCAGGTGTCTTTCAGGAGTATGGGCTACCCCCTTGCAACCACGGTGCCGTCATCACACCTAAGAAATTACCCGCGTCCAATAACATCCAATGTACATCCCATTCATAGTTCCCCAGCTGAACTCCAGTAATATGTTTTTTATGGCTATTTTCCTAATCCAAAAAGCTTCAGGCTTTTGGGTGTTGTGTTTCTTTACCTTCTTTTAATCTAGAACAGTCTCCCTGCTGTGTGTGTATGTGTGTGAGACTTTGGCTTTGAAGAGTCCAGGCAGGCCAGCTGTGTTACACAATAGATTTGTGTAATCAAATATGTTCAAGTTAAGTTTGCATAGTTTCAAAACTCGCCTGATAGTTGCTTCATTGTGTCCAAGAAAGTCCTAAGGAAGAGAGTATATAGTTGAGGCTACCTCCTTGGCAACCTGTCCCTGTGTGAGTTGTGGGTATCCTGTCCAGCCACCCAGAAAAAGCAATGGCTTTAGTAATATGACATGTTAAGTATAAAATGCTTCCTAGGCCAGGCGTAGTGGCTCACGCCTGTAATCCCAACACTTTGGGAGGCCGAGGCAAAAGTATCACCTGAGGTCGGGAGTTCGAGACCAGCCTGACCAACATGGAGAAATGCCATCTCCACTAAAAATACAAAAAAATAGCTGGATGTGGTCGTGCATGCCTGTAATCCCAGCTACTCAGTCGGCCGAGGCAGGATGATTACTTGAACCCAAGAGGTGGAGGTTGTAGTGGGCTGAGATCACGCCACTGCACTCCAGCCTGGCACCTGGCAATGGAGTGAGACTGTCTCAGATAAACAAACAAATAAATAAATAAAATAAAAACAAAATGCTTTCTGCTGGGTGAGGTGGCTCACGCCTGTAATACCAGCACTGTGGGAGGCCGAGGCAGGCGGATCACTTGAGGCCAGGAGTTTGAGACCAGCCTGACAAACATAGTGAAACCCCATCTCTACTAAAAATACAAAAATTAGCCAGGCATGGTGGCAGCTGCCTGTAACCCCAGCTACTTGGGAGGCTGAGACAGGAGAATTGCTTGAACCCAGGAGGTGGAGGTTGCAATGGGCTGAGATCACGCCACTGCACTCCAGCCTGGGCAGCAGAGTGAGACTCTGTCTTAAAAAAAAAAAGCTTCTGATGTGTAAAGATGATTTCACTGGCAGGGCAGATGTTCTCTTCATTTTGTGGGTGGGATCCTGAGAGGTTGAGGCTGTGCCCAGATCTACTATCTTAGGCAAAAGTGGACCAGAGCCCTGCCTTGTGACCCACCATAGAGCTCTCTGCAGTGACAGCTGGGAGTCTTCCCCCAGGACTGGATGACAGGTGGCTTCACCTCATTTCAGTCCTGGATCCAACACGTGTTGGCTGAGCGCTTGACCAAATATTGAATATAATATAATACAGGCCAATCCATCCTGATGACCTGCAAGTCATGACTAGGAGCCCTAGGTGCTGAGCTGAGGTATGGAGGCGTCCTGGCAAACTGCCATTGGGTCATTTTCAGCCTGCACCCCGGCCAGCTACCATCACAGCCTCCAGCATTCCCTCCGAGTCTGCTGTGGTCGCCGTGGTCTGGGAAACTGGATAACCACACTTGTTCTGAGTCCAAAGCCTCCAAGTAAGGGGCACTGTCCCATGAAGAGAAAAGTGCCTGGGACTCCAGAAGCCCCTCTTGGAGTCACCCACATCTCTTTCATTCTGGACTCTCAGCTTTTTGGTGTGCTCTGCCATTCTTCAGTCTTCTGGGGGAAATTTGAGGTGACCAAAGAAGAGAGCTCCGGACAAGTGTAATCTTGCTGTCACGCGTTAGGAAAGACCATCACATACAGCAGAGGCGCCTGGTGATGAAACAGCACGTGGTGAGAGCCAGAGCCCGAGGGCACTCGGCCTGGTGGTTGTGTTGTTGAATGACTGTGCCAGTTTGGGCCGTGCTGGGGGAGGGCACCCAGGACTCAGTCCTGCGCCCTGTGGCCACTGCCTCCTCTGCACGTAGATCGCGCTGACTTAGCTTATTCGTATCTGAGGATTTGGTTCCCAGCTCTAGGCAACAGCAGGAACCCCAGTCCCCAGATCCCCCAATCTCTGGAGAAGTGTCCTCAGTGCTCCGGATGGGGTTTTCCCTGCAAGGTACATGGCCTCCAGTCTCTTCTACCCAAATGTGTCACCTTGGGCAGCAGCTCCCTGAATTCTGTCCTTTCTTGCAGGAATTTCTGTTCTCATCAGTTCATAAACACAGCGCCGCTTCGCTTCTGTTTCTGGGCTCAGTGCTCCGGGGAGTGTGCAGCGATCCAGACTTGACTTCACAGTGACTCCTTGGCCAAGCCCTTTTTGCTCGTTTGCTTGCTTTTAATTTTGGTTTTTTGTTTTTGTTTTTTTTTTTAATCAGGGTAATATATGCATCTTTTTTTACATCAGACAATACTGATGGGCTTATAGTGCTAAAGCAGCAGGCCCCGCCCACTCACTCCCCTCCACCCACCCCCACTCCAGCCTTTCAGCTAGTTAACCATTTACAACCTGCTTAGTTCCTCCGTGTTGCTACTCACCTCCCTGTTCTGAGAGAATATGGTACTCCGATTATGTCTGTCAATTTTGGACGTTATCTTTTGCCTCCATATTCCTGCACGTGAGGACTCATCTCTCCACCACCCTATTGTTCCTCCTCCTCTCTTACTATTATCAGTAGGTCGCAATTTTGGGTTAAGCCCACAGTGTAAATACTATTCACTGCTACTGAACTACGATCACTGAAGCATGGCACTGTACTATGGTACTTCTTTAAAAAAGAGTTCATTATTGTTTCTGTTGTTCTCCCTACATTACTCTTCTCTGTGCCTCTGAATCCTCCTAATATACCAACAGATTAGGAAAGCATCTATTGCATGTTTATCTGTTGGTTCACTGATCAATTCTGTGTTTTTTTTTTTTTAGACACCTAGGTAGCTTGCCAGTGACATTTTTTTCTTTTCTTTTTTTTTTTTTTTGTTTTGTTTGTTTGTTTTTTGAGATGGAGTCTTGCTCTGTTGCCCAGGCTGGAGTGCAATGGCGATCTCAGCTTGTTATAATTGCCACCTCCCAGGTTCAAGCAATTCTCCTGCCTTGGCCTCCTGAGTAGTTGGGATTACAGGTGTGCACCACTGCAACTGGCTAATTTTTGTATTTTTAGTAGAGATGGGGTTTTACCACATTGGCCGTGATGGTCTCGATCTCCTGACCTGGTGATCTACCTGCCTCGATCTCCCTAAGTGTTGGGATTACAGGCGTGAGCCATGGTGCCCGGCCTAGTTTTTAGAGATAGGGTCTCACTCTGTCACTCAGGCTGGAAGCAGCATGATCATAGCTCACTGTAACCTCCAGTATCTGGGCTTAGGTGGTCTTCCACCCCAGCCTCCAGAGTAGCTAAGACTACCATCATGCACCACTATCCCTGGCTTATTTTTTTATTTTTTGTAGAGGCGGGGGCCTCACTATATTGCTTAGGCTGGTCTCAAACTCCGGTGCTCAAGTGATCCTCCTGCCTTGGGCTCTCAAAGTTCTGGGATTATAGGTCTGGCCACCAGTGAAATTCTTTAAATCTTTTTCAAAACAAATGAAAATTTCGTTCACTTTAATATTAAAATAACTCCATGCCACCTCCTCTGAAGGAGCTTCCCTGACCCCCCACCCTCTCCAAGGCGGCCCCTCCTCTGTTCTAACACAGCCTTCACACACAAAATTAAAATTGCCTGTTTTCTTGCCTGTTGCTATCACAACACCAGAAGTTCTTAAGGGCAGGACCGGGTCTTGTTCACCGCTGTCTCCATAGGAACGCACAGCAGCTGGCTGGCACATAGTAGGTGCTCAACAAATATTTGTAGGATTTGCCTTTGTCAAATGCCAAGTGCAGGGGTGATTTTATAGGCTGCAGGCGGCTGGGTTAAATGTCCGCCCCATGCCTCTTTGTTTTTGTTTGTGAGGCGGAGTCTTGCTCTGTTGCCCAGGCTCGAGTGCAGTGGCGCGATCTCGACTCATTGCAACCACTGCATCCCAGGTTCAAGTGATTCTTCTGCCTCAGCCTCCCGAGTAGCTGGGATTACAGGCACCTGCTACCACGTCCAGCTAATTTTTGCATTTTTAGTAAACAGGGTTTCACCACGTTGGCCAGGCTGGCTCAAACACCCAATCTCAGGTGATCCACCTGCCTGGGCCTCCTAAAGTGCTGGGGTTATAGGCGTGAGCCACCACTCCTGGCCTCTATGCTTTTTTGTATTTTCCATGTGCCCCTTCTCTCCAGCCTTCTTGTTGGGTTTGGAGACCCTTCTGGGGCCTGTTTCAATGGAATAGCAACTTTTTCCAGATAAAGATAGCAAAGGAAGGGTTTTCTTTCCCTGATCCATTGTGTCTCCCCCCAACCCTCTCCAGGCAGCGTTCAGTTGGCCCCATGCATCTCAGGGTTCCAGGCTGGTCCTTGTTGCTTGATAACCCCAGCCCACACCACTGAGCTCCGCACAGCCTGAGTGCTCAATAGATGAATAAGATTGAGACTCGCTCAATCAATCAATCAATAAGCCAATCAGTCTTCCTTCACTCAGCCTCTCTGCTCACAGGCGTTTCTCATTATCTAGTGTTGGGATGATCAGAAGGAAAAAGGAGCCTCTGCGTAAAGGTGACCCCATTTCAGGTTTCGTCATAACTCGCTAGGTACTGAAAGACAGCAGAAGGGAAGACAAAGAAGGGGGACGCTCACCTGCAATCGCAGAGGGACATTTGGGAGGCACTCGGTCGCTAGATGAGGGCTATGTGGGGGCACTTTGCTGGCACTATCTGGTGTGTCTCTGATGCCCAACCAGGAAGGACAGGAAAGCTAACTCCAGGTCGGGGCACGTATATTGTGCATAGTCTTTGGTCTTGGCTAACTCAGGAAGGTGCTGGTCTGCGATGACCCACAATGTGAGAACACACCTCAGCGTCCACAGAGGCTTTCCCTTGTGAGCAATGTGGACCTAACAGGTGGTGGCCTGTAAAAAGAGCCAACCCACTGGCTCACACTCCTGGAGCGAGGGCCCAGCCTGAGCAGGCAGGGAGCCATCTTGGAGCAGTCCCTTGAGGGGACAGCCCGTCCCAGGGCTGACTCAGCATGTCCTTCACACCACACATCCACTGGGGACCAAGCACCTCCTCTGGGTGCCAGGCAGCAGGAGAACTGCAGGGACACGGCCCAGGCAGGGTGGATACGGCCCAGGCAGGGTGAGGTGGGGGGACACATGGCCCAGGGAAGGTAAACCAGGGGGACGAAGCCTAGGCAGGGTGAGTCGCCAGGGCTTTCACCTCCAACCAGAGCATCTGCCTCTCGGAGACCCTCCTTACCTGCCCCGCTACCTCGTTAAGGGCCCCAGGGCTCTCATAGAGGAGACCTGCAGGCACCCAGGGATCCAAGCTAGCTTTGGAGACCGAGCCTTGTGCACAGCGTCATGGTCTGGGGCTCTCTTCCCTTTGGCTCACCCAGGACCCTAGGGGAGGAGGCTACAGCTGGGCGGCCAGGGCAGGGAGCAGCTGACCCTGTCATAAAGCTGATGGCTGCCGGCTGGTGGTTCACCCCTGGAGAGGGAGCCCTCCCCTCTGGGGTGTAGCGTGTTTTGGGGGAGCCTTTACGGCAGCTCTTTGGTGTGTCTGCAGTGGAACTGAATTTATTTTTTGTACTTTTAGGAATTAACTTGCAGTTCTCAGCCTCTCCCTCCCCAGAAAGGAGAGAAGGAGAAAAGAAGAAAAGGTTTGCATTGTCACCGTGATTGGCACCGGCTGTGAACGAGGGGTCACTGCTTCAGGCTGCTCCTTTTCAAGCGCGCCTTTCTCCCCTGCACGCTGCATTCACGATAGAACATTCTTTCTTTCAAAGCTTCTGTCTCTCTCTCCCCCGCCCTTTTTGCCTCTGCTTTCCTTCCTTCACTTTTGCCTTTCATTCCCAGCTCTCGCCACCTCCCTCGGGCGTCACTCTTTCTCCCTTTTTTCCCCTTCTTCTTCTATTCAGTTCCTTTTTTTTCCTCTTGCCTCTCTCTCTCTTTCAAATTTCTTTTTTCTTTTTCCTTTTGAATAGTGCTTCTGTTTTCAAGGGAAGAGAGCAGTAGAGAAGTGGGTTTATTTGAGGAAGAGAGAATGTGTTTTTTCTGCATTGCTCTAAATGTGCAAAAAAAAAAACAAAAACCTGTTGAAGACACTGTTTCTTTTAGGCTCCTGCTTTAAGAGGGAGGCATATTTGGGAGTCTCCACCAGCCGAGAGGGACCTGTTTGTCACACAGGAGTCCTGAGTGGGTCAGTGAACTAAGGCCTGGGGTGGGACTGGCAAGACCTAGACTTGGCCGTTGGATGCTTCCCCTCTGCCTGGCCCAGCACGGGCTCCAGGTGAGGGTGACAGCAGAAGTGGATGAGGTCCCATGGCCTCCTCCCTCTGGCAGAGCCTGGGGTCGCCATTTCCAGCCAAGGGGGCGAGGTGGCATCCTTCCACACAAACATGACGCAGGGGCTGGGTGTGAGGAAGGGGCCAGCCCACACCACACAAGCCGGACCCACGCTGAGCTGGACCTTCACCAAGTAATGGGCCCACAGCCTTGGGTCTGGCAGCCTGTGTTGACACATCCTGTGTGGTAGGGACGCACGTGTCCCGCGCGTCTGAGGGATTTTTAAATGTCACCTGGGAGCTACTGAGAATATTCACTCAGGTTTTCCTAAACTATCCAAACAGAACAGCTTGGTTCTTTCCCTATAGGCCTCTTTATTTTTCTTTAAACCTGTGGAAACCGACCTCCTCTGAGAGCCGACACAGGCTTGTCAATCAGGCATGTGCGTGTGGCTAGTTAGCACATTTACTTCACTTGTTGAGCCCCGGCTCCTCTCCTGTGCGCGTGGATCTGAGGATAGGCCGCAGCAGGGCCACCGGTCACTGTGGTCTGAGGCAGAAAGGTGGCCCTGCCTACTCCTGAAGCCTGTTTCAATCTGTGTAGGCCGTGGCTCAAACCCCTGAGCTGTGTTATGTCTCCACATTACAATCCTGGCTCCCTCCCTGCCATTGCCTTTCTTCTTAGTCCACTGGCTGAACTCCTACACAACCTACAAAACCCTGCTCAAGTGCCACCTCCCCCTTGGAGTCCCCCACATAGACTTAATCACACCTCTCTTTATCCATCTTCTGGGACTAGTATGTCACAGCTCTCACCTCACAAAGGTAATCATCTGTTTACTGTGGCTCCTGGAGGGCAGAGACTCTTGTCTTTATCATCTCTAACTCCCAGGAGAATGATGTGCTGTCCGTGTTGGCCAGGCAGAAAAGCCTTGCAAAACCTCAGTCACTCTAGAATGACCTCGCAGCTTTAGCCTGGTCAGCTGGAACAGCAGAAAGAAGGAAGCTGGACATGGTGGATGGCTTCAGGGACACGAGACAGTGATGGCTGACAGGTTTGCCATCTAGGAACCGTTTCAGGCCTGGGTAGGTGAGGGCAGAAGCCATACGAGGTGGTTTCTCCGAGGGAGCCCACTCAGCCAGGCCTGAGCTCAGGGGGCTGTGGGATGCAGGAGGCCAGGGAGTGGGCCCAGGCAGAGGGTGGCAGCACGTGGCCTGTGAGCCCAGGGAGGGTGGCGTGGCTGCTGCCAGAGGAGGAGGAAGCCCAGCTCAAAGCTTCTGTGTTTGACAAAGGGCTGCCACCTTCTAGAGGACAGTTGAGTTCTGGTGGAGGGGACACATGTCATAGAACAGAGCTTGAGGAGGTGATGGAGGATGCAGATCTGGCCCCAATTCAGGGGGTGGAGAGAAAACAAACTGGACATTGCCAGGGTGGCAGTGGGCCATGGTGCAGGCAGGGAAACTTCGTGCATGCAGGTTTTGAGCTGGAGGCCAGAGGGGGAAGCAACGAGCGGAGCAGGGCCCGGGTCTCTGCGGGAGGACCTGCCTGTGTGTCTGGGCACATTTCTGCCCTGCACAAGGGGCACCTCGGGTTGCAGGCTGGAAGACCCTGAGTGCCTTCTCAGAGCACAGAAGAAATGACTGCTCACACTCTGGGTCCCCCAGGGCTGCAGGGGAGAAAGCCTGTGGGGCTCCCGGCTAGCCAGGGTTCCCAGGGGCCCCAGGAAAAGCCATGGTCTCTGGGGAGACACAGGGCTCCCTGCAGGAGGAAGTCACTTCTTGGATTGAGGCCCGAGAGGTGAGTGGCCTGGGCTATGTGAGATGAAGGCTCCATGCCCAGGTGTGCTGGCTCATACCATCAGGCCTGGAGGTGTGGCCGGCAGAACCCCATGCCCTTGTTCCTGCACACCCGGCCCATAGTAGGCACTTCGGAATGTTTGCTGAAGTGTGAATTGCACGTGTTGTTAGCAGATGTAGAATATAGAATGGAAACAGTGCAGCTCACAGCCAAGTGCTGTGTAAACTGTAAAGCCTCATGCAAAGGGGAGCTCCATCCCTGCCCCGCAGAGCACAGGGCCTCAGGGAAGGGGCCATATATAACACCTGCTCCCCAGGAGGACGGTCTGGGCTCCAAAAGCCTTGGGGAAAAGACTGTCCTCCCTGTGGGTCTGGGTGACCAAGACAAAATGAGCTGTGGGTAAAGGGAGCAGGAGTCTGCTTCTCTAGGGGCATTTGGGATTTGTGCTCCAGGAGAGGAATTGAAGTGGCTTTGGGGCAGGCTCCATAGAGATTTGAGCCTGGGGTCAGGGGAGGAGGCACCACTGCTCTGCCTGGCCCCACCTGCTTCTCAGGATCCTGCTGGCAACCCAGAAGCTGCCAGGGCAGGCCTGCCTGGCCATCAGGTTTTTCCAGTTTGGACAAGACTATCTCCTGACACCCACCCACAGCCGCCCTGGCCTAGAGATGGAAAGGGGCTGGGTCTGAGTTTGTGAACAGGCTTTAGAGGCAGTGTGTTTCCGGGGTCCGTTTCCCGGGTGGCAAGGGACCTGGCAGTCAATTCCCCCTTAAGAACTGGCACCAAGGAGTCCAGCTCCTCCAGTAATTACTGTGTGGCCCCAGGCGAGCTGCCGAATGTTAATAATAGCAGCAAACAACATAGGCGTGCCAGGTTCTGCTTTCAGCACTTTACATATTTTAACTGGTAAGGCAGGTGCTCTTGGTACCGCCCACTTCAGTGAGGAGAAAGCGTCCTGCCGTTGGGAAGTGGCAGAGGACTGCAGGCCTTCCACTCTAGAGTCTGGATCTAAACTTGTGCTTCAAAACCTGGTCGTTTTTGTTTTTTTTTTAACTTATTTCTAAGCTTCACAGACTAATACTATCAGCTTGGCTCAGATGTTACAAAGTTGCCATGTTGTCACATTGCTATACAAGTCTTTTTTTTGTTAATTTTTTGAGACAGAGTCTTGCTCTGCCTCCAGGCTGGAGTGGAGTGGCGTGATCTTGGCTCACTGCAGCCTCCTCCTCCTGGGTTCAAGTGATGCCTCAGCCTCTGAGTAGCTGGGACTACAGGTGCACACCACCACACCCAGCTAATTTTTGTGTTTCTTTTTAGTAGAGGCAGTGTTTCACCATGTTGGCCAGGCTGGTCTCAAACTCCTGATCTCAAATGATCCACCCATTTTGACATCCCAAAATTCTGGGATTACAGGTGTGAGCCACTGTGCCCAGCCAAGTTTCTAAGGCTCCTCCATGCTTGGAGGAGCAGTGCTCTAAAGCTATTAACTGTTCTCTGCCTCAGTTTCCTTATTTGTAAAACAGGGTGATGGCACCAGTACCAGCCACAGGTTGCGATCAGGACTAAATGACACACTGCTGAAAGTCGGCCCAGGCTGGCAGTGTAACTCTCAGATCCCAGGCTGGCACTGTGGCTCTCAGATCCCAGGCTGGCAGTGTAACTCTCAGATCCCAGGCTGGCACTGTGGCTCTCAGATCCCAGGCTGGCAGTGTAACTCTCAGATCCCAGGCTGGCACGGTGGCTCTCAGATCCCAGGCTGGCAGTGTAACTCTCAGATCCCAGGCTGGCACGGTGGCTCTCAGATCCCAGGCTGGCTCTGTGGCTCTCAGATCCCAGGCTGGCAGTGTAACTCTCAGATCCCAGGCTGGCACTGTGGCTCTCAGATCCAAGGCTGGCATGGTGGCTCTCAGATCCCTGGCTGGCACGGTGGCTCTCAGATCCCTGGCTGGCACTATAGCTCTCAGGGCCCAGGCTGGCACTGTAGGTCTCAGATCCCAGGCTGGCACTGTAGGTCTGAGATCCCAGGCAGGTACTGTAACTCTCAGATCCCAGGCTGGCACTATAGGTCTCAGGGCCTGGGTTGGCACCGTAACTCTCAGGGCCCATGCTGGCATCATAACTCTCGGGGCTCAGACTGGCACTGGAACTCTCAGGGCAGCCAGCCAGTCTGTGAACATCAGGTTTTGCCATCAGGAATAAGAGCCCACACAGGTGCTTCCCATCCAGATGCCAGTGCAGAACCTGGCAGGGAGCATCCTATGACTCCATGCCTGGGAAGGGCTTTGTAAACTCTAGGGGGCTGTGGCTGTGTAAGTAGGCCTGCTCATTCTCCTGCCCAGTCTGTCTTTCCGGAGGCTCCCAAGGGCAGGCCCTGAGTGCTTCGGAGACAGGACACAGCCCAGCATCAGCACAGGGAGGAGGGCGCCTCTTGCCTCTGGGCTGTGCACGTGTGAGTGTATGTGGGCTTCACACAAGAAGCTTCCTGGGCGTTTTGGTTTCAGGGGTTGGGGCCAGCACAGGGTCGCGGGGGCTCCCATCTTGGACCCAGCCCTTCCTGCTGTGACCCAGCTGAGCTTCGTTTGTTTGCCAAGGAGTGGGTCATTCCAGCTGGCAGGGATGCACTGTAAAATTTCAGAAAGGACTGACAAGACTTCTGGAGTCCCACAGCAGATGCCTTCCTGCCTCTCCAGGGTCCTCCTGGGGTCCTGGGTCCCAAGGGACGCTCATAGCCCCATGGGCACTAGGGTTGAAACTGCCCATTTCCTGGCAAGCCAGGGGCTCCCATGTGGACCAAGAACTTGAGCTACAACTTTCCGTGGGACTGGGTCCATTCCCAGCATCTCTGTCCTTCCTTACACCTGATTTCATACTTTTTCCAAGTGTTCATCCTCTCCCCACTCCTTAATGGTACTTAGATATTTTTGGTGATAGTAAGAACATGCCAACTATTTGGGGGCCCTGGGTGAGTCACATTGTACGGGTACATATATTGCCGCGTAAAAGTGAAAGCTGACCGTTTCTCAGAAGCCAGCCCCCAGCTCCAGGTATATCCCCTTGTATGATCTTATTGTATCTTCTCCAGCATCCTATGGGGGAGGCAGCTGTTATCCCCATTGTACAGTTGAGAAAACAGTGGTCCTGAGAGATGAAGCAACTTGCCCAACACAATACAGTGTGAGGTGGCCAGGTCGATTGTAGAGCTTCCTGTGGCTGAGGGCCCCACCCTGCCTCCATGGCCCGCCCTGAGGGGCGGAAGCCCTCACACCACGAGTCACAGCCAGCCATTAGCTTGTTTTATAATTGCCCCTCTCCTAAAGCCACTAATTTTGCCCTGGGTCACACATGCATTTGAATTCCAGCATCTGGGACACGTGGCTGAGCCCACCACCCTGCACACAGGGCTTCCAAGCTCCTACGGGTCATCCTCTGTGGTCCAGGTTGAAGAGGAAACTCATTCCTGCTCTAGGCTGAGCTGACCACCTTGGGCACCCTCTCCTCCGATATCCAAGTTCTGTCTTTGAGACCCTCTTCCGTCTCTCCTGCCCAGTCCCCACTGTCTTCCAGTTCTTCTCCCACCTCTACCCTGCAACCAACAGGCCACCTTGGCCTCCTCCTCCATGAGCTCATGGTCATGTGCAGACCCAGCAGCTCCTGGCTGGGAAAGCCATCATGTGGCTTCTGCCTTCTCTGTACCTCGAATCTGAGGCGTGCATCTCCCCCTGCAGCTGGACTGCAGGATCAGGTGTGGGTCCCCGAGCTTCCAATCCTCGCATAGGTCCTACCTCTTGGCTCACTGGATGAAAGTCTCATTGTTAGAGGACTGAGGAAGGTGTGGCTTTGCACGCTGCCCCTGCCTGCCTCTGATGATAGCCTGTGTGGATGGCCGCATGTGTCTGATGTCTGCGTGTGTACACTATCAGCTGATATGTTGCACCAGCTGTCCCTCCCCCCGGGAGATACACGAAGGCATTACGTGAATGAGAGAGGCATTCTTTACTCCTCCTGGCATAAATCCGTACTCGAGCTGGGTGTGTGGGTGACTGCAAAATAAATGTTGATTACAACAGTGGCTTTGGGAGGCAGCCACCGCCAGGGGCTCTGCTGGCATGCAGGCTCAGGGAAGTCGTAACACTGCCGTAGCAAGGAAGAGGGCTTTGGCCGCACCCTTGGCCTGCCCTCAGACCTCGCACCTTCCCTACCTGCTGCGCTTCTGCCTTCTTTCCCTTCCCTTCTCTGTCCCGAGCCTCCAGCCTGGGCAGGCCCTCATCTTTGGCAGGGTCTATTGGGGGAAGGGGTCTTCCTAACCAGCTTCTCCCCCGGGTAGGCATCCCCAGGCCCCTCCACTCAACCAAACGCCATAGATTATCCTCATTTGTCTAACTGGTCAGTGAAACCCCCTAATAACCCCAGGAAGTGAGAACCATCATCCCATGCCACAGACGAGGAGACCGAGGTGTGAGTGATGGGGCCAGACTGCAGCCCATGCCCCTAATTTATCACCTCCATATAAACAGGAATATTTATATGGAAGAACATTCCTGATCCCTTAAGTTTGTTTTTCTTGTTTTTGTTCTTTTGAGATAGAGTCTCCCTCTGTCACCCAGGCTGGAGTGCAGTGGCACAATCTTGGCTCACTGCAATGTCCGCCTCCCAGGTCAAGGTCAAGAGATTCTCCTGCCTCAGCCTCTCAAGTAGCTGGGATTACCAACTAATTTTTGTATTTTTAATAGAGACGGAGTTTCAGCCTGTTGGTCAGGCTGATCTCGAACTCCTGACCTCGTGATCCGCCTGCCTCAGCCTTCCAAAGTGCTGGGATTACAGGCGTGAGCCACCACACCTGGCCTATCTTCGTTTTTTTTTTAAAAGTACATTTATTTAATGCTTATTTCCCATCTGGTATTTTGCACCAGTATTTTGTGGTTCTTAATCATGTTTCTAACCAAATCATGAGGTCCTGAGACTGGGGATCTTTGTGCCCTGCCAGCACCCAGCACCAGCCTGGCCAGATGACAGGAACGATAATAATAGCAATCGCACAGCTGGGCGTAGTGGCTCACGCCCGTCATCCCAGCACTTTGGGAGTCCAAGGCAGGTGGATCACCTGAGGTCAGGAGTCCGAGACCAGTCTGGCCAACATGGTGAAAGCCTATCTCTACTAAAAATACAAAAAAGCTAGCCAGGCGTGTTGGCAGGCGCTTGTAATTCCAGCTACTTGGGAGGCCAAGGAAGAAGCATCACTTGAACTCTGGAAGCAGAGGTTGCAGTGAGCCAAGTTCGCGCCACTGCACTCCAGTCTAGGTGGAGAGTGACTCTTTTTTTGAGGCAGAGACTCTGCCTCAAAAAAAAAGTAATAATTATTATGTCTCCCTGGGACAGCCTGTCTCTTAACGCCTGGTCCATAATGTGAGCTCAGTAAATGATGGCTAAAAAGCAATTAGAAGGAGCTGGCAAGGTTTCATTCTGCCTTAAACTAGGGGCACAGAGAGACATGGGTGGGAAAGGCCATGAGTTTTGCTTCCTTTACTCAGAGGCAGTTCAGGAACATGGCGGGGTGAATTTGGAGGATTGGTGAATGTCACCGTCCTGTTTAGAGTGTGGGAGCTGGCCCTCTGAGCATTTGCTGGGTGCCTCGGCCTGGGGCTGGCTCCTGCTTCTCATTCACATGGCGTAAGGTAGGGCCTGAAGAGGCAGCCTGGGGCAGTGAATGGTTGGGTTTCCCTGGACAGCAGTGAATTCCTTTTTTTTTTTTGAGACACAATCTCACTGTCACCCGGGCTGGAGTGCAGTGGTGTGATCATGGCCCCCTGCAGCCTCGACCTCCCAGACTCAAGCCATCCTTCCACTTCAGCCTCCAAGTAGTTGGTACTACAGGCGCGTGCCTTCATAGCTGGTTAATATTTTGTAGAGATGGGATTTCACAATGTTGCCCAGGCTGGTCTTGAACTTCTAGGCTCAAGTGACCCTCCCACCTTGGCCTCCCAAAGTGCCAGGATTATAGGTGTGAGCCACTGCTCCAGTCAGCAGTGAATTCCTACCTGGGGCCAGTCATGGGGGATTTCTGCACCTGGCTCGCCCCCTGCGCTAGGTCCTGCCCATGCTTCATCCTGAGGGGGGCTCCTGCTTCTCCCCTACCCTGACCTCGGGAGCAGGGCCAGGCTCTCTGAGATGCCCCCTCCTCCCAGGGAGCACCCCACACACACTTCCCGCCCATGTGTTTCTTCCTCCCTTCCCTAGGTCAATAGAGAAGCTTCCCTGTGGCAGGCAGGGGTCCATTCTGGGGTTTGTCTCCTCCCTCCTGGCCACTGTGGGGAGTCTGAACGCTGGAGATGACCTGAGAGAGAGAAGGCCGGGACTGAACTGGAGAAGCCCTGGCTGATGGAATGGGGTTTCTTTTTCCCTCCTTTCTTCCTTCTCTTCTTTTTTATGTTTAAGCAAGAGATAAATAAATGTGGCCCTGAGATGACAAGAGAACACTGAAGGAGATGAAAGGAGAGTAAAAGGGAGCGAGAGAGCAGAGGCAAAGGACAGAGGGGGATTTGGACTGTGCACCGAGATGAGGGGAGAGATGAAAGGGGGAAGAAAGAGATGAGATGGGAACGCAGGACGGAATGGCAGAGCAGAGGATAGGGTTGCCACGGAAACCGAAGGAGGGGAGGAATGGAGGGAGAGGAAGACGGGATGGAGAAGGTAGAGGACTCAGTGCAGGAGGGGTGTGAGGCCAGGCTTGGTGAGGAGGAAGGGAAGCCACGAGGGGATCCCAGGTGTGAATTAGGCCCGGGTGTGGGAAAACAGGTTGGCAAGGGAGGAAGACACCTCCAGAAAGCCCATCCCTGTGGAGAGCTGAGGCGGAGAGAGCTGGGTCTCCGCCCTGGGCCAACTCACTGGGGCCTGCTCCACCTGCCTGCAGGAGACTGCCTCAGTTTCCACGCCTATAAAATGGAAATGGTACACCCCATCCCAGAGGACTGCCCCGAGGACTAGAAATGGTGTGCTTTCATCACAGGGCCTGATGAGGTTCAAGCCCACTGAATGGGCCTACTGCGACTTCCTTTGATTCTTATCTTTGTGCCCTTGAACCTGTGAGCTGAGTTTTGTCTGTTTTCCCTGTTACATGAAGCTGGTGGTATCTGGGTCCAGGAGAGTGTACTTGTTGCTTGTTTGGGGGAAAGACGTGGAACCTTCTGGAAACATGAGGCCTGTTGTCCCTCCCCCTCAGAACAGGAACTGGTCCTGAAACTTAGGGAAAGGAGGTAGGCAGGGTCTGTTTGGCCGCTGTCCAGAGCTGGGCTCAGCCAGGGACCTCTTTTTTCTTTGCACTTGAATATGGGTATTCTGAAAAGGGCAGCAGTTGATTCTACCTGTGTACCTCTGCGAGGGGCGCAGTGAGCAGACCAGCATGGTCTCTGCCCTGGGAGGGTATCGTCAAACTGGGATGCCAGAATAACTGGGATGGTAGCTATTAGGGAAGTAATTGTACAAATAAATCATTAACAAATCATTAAAAGTTACAATAAGGTCCAGGAAGAAAAGGTGTGAACCTGGAGACAGCTCAGAACCTGGGATCCAGACCTGGTTGGGTGGTGCAGGGGTCAGGGCAAGCTTCCTGAGGAAGTGATACCTGGGCTGAAAGCCGAAGGGAGAGGAATGAGGAAGAACATTCCAGGTAGGGGACACCATGTGAGGAGGCCATGTGTGGACGAGGTCTACTAAAGAATGTGTGTGAAGTCTGTGTGGCTTCCCATGGAGGGAGGGGACAGCAGCATGCCGTGCACTTGTCCTGGGGGCAGGGAGCAACCAGGCACGCTCTGGAGGCCCTTGGTGAGATGTTTGGGCTTGATTGCAAGAGCAGTGGGAGGTGACTGGGAGCTGGAGCAGGGTGGGCTGTCGTGGCTGACTGGTTCAAGCACAAGGCTTGCTTCTCCCTTGACCAGCTGTCAGCATTCTAGGGCAAGGAGCAGCCACGTGGCAGAACTCTTGAGAGCTGCGGGCAAATTCCTTGCCCCCTACAACCCTCTGTGCCCACCTTCACAGCCCCCAGACAGTGGAAGGCGATCATCCTGGTGGGAGAACCTGAGTTGGGGGGTGACCCCCATGTTTGACATGGATGGAAGGAAACACGAGGAGTCAAGAGCTCCACAGGCGCGGTGGCTCATGCCTGTAATGTCAGCTCTGTGGGTGGCCAACACCTGAGGTCAGGAGTTCACCTGAGGTAGGATCACCTGAGGTCAGGAGTTCAAGACCAGCCTGGCCAACATGGCAAAACCCCACCTCTACTAAAAAATACAAAAATTAGTCAGGCATGGTGGCGTGCACCTGTAGTCTCAGCTACTCGGGAGGCTGAGGTGAGAGAATTGCTTGAACCAAGGAGGTGGAGGTTGCAGTGAGCCAAGATCACACCACTGCACTCCAGCCTGGGAAACAGGAACAAAAATCGAGAGCTCCAGATGAGTCCTCACTGAGGGTCAGGGGCCTTGGGGTCTTGGTTTCCTTATCTGTAAAATGATGGCATTGGACAGGAGGGTTCCCAAAGTTCCTTTCCTTTCAATCCTGCTGGTGAAGATTCCAAGACCCACAGCCAAAGTGGCTGAAGCCAAGGGTCTCCAGCAAGGCTACCATCCCACTACGGGGGAGCTAGGCGCCCCTCCCTTGCACTAAAGAAACACACATGCATTCACTGGCCATGTGAGCTGCCAGGTGGGAGGATTAGGCCCATGGTTTCTGGGAGCCTGTTGACTTCTGATCATAGGTGGTGCATTACTCCTATGCTTGGCATCAAAGAGAAGCTACATGTGCTTTTACGCAGCTGTGCAGGCAGCTTAGCATTTGCCACAGTGATTTGTGCAGCCGATGCCCTGTTAGCTTCAGCAGCCTCGTGTCTATAGGAACCAGAGGCCACCCAACTCACTTCAGGGCTAAGGGGCTTGATTGCCAGCGAGGGTCCCCCAGGCTAGGGGCAGGGACGGGGCACCATCCAGAATCCAGGTGCCTTCTGGGGCCAGTGCTCCCTCAGGTTCTCCTCTGACAGCCACCTTGCCACCCCTGCTCATCCAGGCTCTCTGCGCCTTTGGGTTTTGGCCTTTCTCTCCTTCGTGTGTTCTTTGAGCATTTGCTCTTGTGGCTGATGGACTGAGGTTGAGGCATTGCCGTGCTTCCAAGAGAGGAAACTGTGTGGCTCAAGTTCTTTCAGGGGGTGGGGAGGGCCAGGCCATAGGTCTGGGCTCAGCTTCTTCATGAACCGCCCTAGATGGTGGGGGTATGCTGTGCTTGGAGGTCTAGGGCTGGGAGATGAGCAGCTGCCATTCGGGGAGGGCGAGGAAAGCACCCAGTGTGTGAGGGCCTCCCCTCCCACTTGATTCACCAGGCAAGGCCAGGTCAGTGAGCATGCGTCAACTCTTGCTAATTAACTTGGAGAGGTCGGGTGCAGTGGCTCATGCCTATAATCCCAGCACTTTGGGAGGCCAAGGTAGGTGGATCACTTGAGCCCAGGAGTTCGAGACCAGCCTGGCCAACACGGTGAAACCCCTCTCTACTAAAAATTCCAAAAATTAGCTGGGCATGGTGGTGCACTACTGTAGTCCCAGCTACTCGAGAAGCTGAGGCACGAGAATCACTTGAACCCAAAAGGTGGAGGTTGCAATGAGCTGAGATGGTGCCACGGCACTCAAGCCTGGGTAACAGAGCAAAACTAAATAAGAATAATAATAATTTAGAGAATCAGAATCACTTGAGAAGCCTTTAGATTTTCTATGTCCAGGCCCTGAACCCAGAGAGTCTCATTTAACTGGTCCAGAGTGAGACCAAGTATTGGCATCTAATCAAACGATGCCAATTCGGGAGTTCTTTGGACCCAGGGTTTGTGTCTTCACAAGAGTTTGTGCCTCAGACGTCACCTCATCAGAGTCCCTGCCTCGCCGTGGGGGCTCCACCCCTCATTTCCTTGGGCTTTAGGGTCTCTGTGACCGCTTGGAGGAGGGAAACCTCACACAGTGGCCACCCCGTGGCAGTCAGGCCCACCTTAGCCCTGGGCTTGTGGAAGCAGAGGCGTGGCAGAGGAGCACTGGGCCTGGGGGATGGCTCAAGAGCATGGGTTGTCAGAGAAGGCCCCGTGGGAGGGGCTCTCTCGCCTGGGAGGGCATCAGGTGAGAAAACGCACTTGGAGTGGGGAGGGCCTTCCGGCTTGATTCACCAGGCAACGCCAGGTCACTGACAGTGTGCGTCTGCTCTTGCTAATTAATTTGGAGAGGCCCTTCCCTATGCTGCCTGGAGACCACCCCAAGGAGAAGGCAGGACTGTCCTGGGAGGGAAGGGTGCAGAACTCTCAGGTGAGGGCTTCCCTCTCCATCTCACTTACTGCATTCAGTCTTGGTCCCTGGGTGACTGTCAGCTTCCTTCTCTTCCCTTTTCTGTACCCTGGTGTCTTTCTCTTGAGACACTTCCCCCACTGGCCCCTCTCTTCCCCTGCAGTTGCTGTCCTCTAGAGGTGGGTCTAGCTGTGTTGGGGGGGGAGGTGACTCACAAACAGTTATGAATCAGTGTGATCATATCAGTCAGGGTTCTAGAGAGAAACAGAGTCAGTAGGAAGTACAGTATCTATATACACACACATATATGGAGAGGTCTCTTTTAAGGCATTGGCTCCTGTGATTGTGAGGGCTGGCAAGTCCAAAATCTCTAGGGCAGATGGTGGCAGGGCAAGGCAGGAACTCAGACAGGATTCTTATGTTACAGTCTTGAGTGAGGCAGAATTCTTTTTCTGGGAAACCTCAACGTTTGCCCTTAAGGCCTTCAACTGATTGGATGAGGCCTACCCACATTATGGAGGGTCATCTGCTTTTCTTAAAGTCAACCGATTGTAAATGTGAGTCACATCTACAAGGTACCCTCACACCAACATTTAGATTAGTGTTTAACCACACAGCCGGTCACCACAGCTTAGCCAAGATGAGGCTTAAGATTGACTATCATGGTGATGGTCTCAGGCTGTCCTGCCCTAGTGCACTTCAGGGAAGGCAGAGCCTGCACTAAATCCTCAAAGATGATGGAAATTCACCCAGTTCGAGGGAAGGGCCTTCCTGGCAGGGGGTCAGCCTATGCAGAGGCCCCAAGGTAGGAAGCATGGGTGAGTGGAGGGCACAGGGGCAGTGGAGCCTGCCTGGGAGCCATCCTGGGCAGCAAATGAAGGCCTGGGCAGTGCATCCCAACCACCAAAAGGCTGTGGGGGCTGCGGGGCTGGAGACCTGCATTCTAGTCCTTGCCTCCCCACCATCTCACCTTGTGACCCTGGACCGTTCCCTTCCCCTCCCTGGGCCTCCATTTCCTTATCTGTTATCAGGGCCAGGCAGGGTGCGCATCAGGCTGTGGTTTGTGGATCGGTGGCCCTGTGTCAGGGCCCCTCGCCACTCTGAGTCCCAGAGGTAGGACTCAATGACTCTGTCCACAAAGAAAGGGGAAGCAAGGCAGAGAGAGGATCCCAGGAGGAAGAGACTTGCTGGCGTCCCCTGCCCCTCCCCTGTGCTGGCAGCCACTCCTGGGCCTCTGGCTACTGAGGCCTGTGGGCTGGCAGAAGTGAGACTGGCCAGGGGCCTCTCGAGGTGCGCATAGGCCTCCCAGCTCTCACTTCCTCTTCCCTTCTGCGCATGTGAGCAGAGTTTCCCTTGAAGCCTCCTGCGGAGAGGACCACAGGGAAACCAAGAGGCTGGTTTCTCATGCGGCGAAATCCCAGGCGTGTTTTTCATGGCCATGCACGTGCCTGGAACTTCCGCCTCCCCTCCCACCAGGTTACGTGTCCGCCCACTCCAGGTTCAGCCTCACCCGCCCAGGGCCCTGGACTCCCAGGGGTAAAGGGCCCAGAGCCACATCCTAGAGGGCTTGAATGCCAGGCTCAGGGTGAAGGGCCCCCTCCCCGCTCTTGCTCTGTTGGGTCCTGACCTGCCTCCATGGGTTCCAGCCCTCAGTCCTGTCCCCACCCAACCCCAGTGCGGCAGCCCCCACTGCCCAGAGACCCTGGTGCTTCAAGTGGACTGAGTTCACGCGAGTCAACTCCCCAAGAGTGAGAACTTTAATTTGCTCCCTATACCCACAATCGAGCACCTAATAGATGCTCAGTAAATGTGCATTAAGTCAGTGGCTCAGGCCTGGCACAGTAGCTCAGGCCTGTCATCCAGCAATTTGGGAGGCCAAGGTGGGAGGATTGCTTAACCCCAGAAGTTCAAGATCAGCCTGGGCAATTTAGCAAGACTACCTCTACAGAAACAATGCACTCCAGCCTGGGCCACAGAGAAGACCCATCTCTTAAATAAATCAGGCCAGGCGTGGGGCTCATGCCTGTAATCCCAGCACTTTGGGAGGCTGAGGCAGGTGGATCACCTGAGGTGATGAGTTTGAGACCAGCCTGGCCAACATGGCAAAACGTCGTCTATATTAAAAATATAAAAAATGAGCCTGGCATGGTGGTGGGCTCCTGTAATCCCAGCTACTTGGGAGGCTGAGGAAGGAGAATTGCTTGAACCCGGGAGGCAGAGGTTGTAGTGAGCTGAGATGGCACCATTGCACTCCAGCCTGGGCGACAGAACAAGACTCTGTCTCAAAAAATAGATAAATAAATAAAAAGTCAGAGGTTCAGCTGCAGGACAGGAGACTGTAGTCTCTGAGCAACCTGGTGATTCAAGGCCGAGTGAGGGAGCCAGCAGCCAAGCCTGTCCTTCCAGCGTGAGCTCGAGGCACTGCTGAGGCCGCCTCAGAGAGTAGGGCTTACTGGGCCCTCGGGACACAGTCCTCAAATTACACTGATGGGGTGCTTGGTGACGGCCCAAGCCTGAACTGGCAGAAGCCCCAGACCTCTGTCTGTTGGGTTTTTTTTTTCTTTATACTTTATACTTTTTTTTGAGACAGGTTTTCACTCCTGTCGTCCAGGGTGGACGTGCAGTGGTACGATCTTGGCTCACTGCAACCTCCGCCCCGCCTCCGCGCCCCCACCCCCCCAACCGGGCTCAAGTAATTCTCCTGCCTCAGCCTCCCAAATATCTGGGGCTACAGGTGCGCCGCCACACCTAGCTAATTTTTGTATTTTTTCAGAGACGAGAGCTTGTCATGTTACCCAGGTTGGTCATAAACTCTTGAGCTCAAGTGATTCACCTGCCTCAGCCTCTCCCAGTGCTGGGATTCCAGGTGTGAGCCACCAAACCTGCCTTCAGTTGGTGTTTGAGGTCTCCCCGGGTTTGGGAGTTAGTCAAAAATTACCTAGGTGACCACAAGGTCCTGTTGGTTCTTCCTTCAAAATGGCTTCTGTTGCACCAGACCAGGCTTTGGGTGTCTTCACCCCCTCTCTGCCCTGAGATGTGTGTCCCAGGGGATACCAACCACCCTGATCCCACCAGCCCCTCCCCTGCTCCTGGAGTGGAGGTGTGATGGGGTCCCCATGAGAGGAAAGGGGTGCTGTTGTGAGCAGTGTGGGATGAGAGGGGGTGCTGTCACAGCTTGGGGAAGGGACCCTGGTCTCAGGCAGGTGGGTCAAGAGTTCATGGGCCTCCACAGTCCAGGTAGGTTCTTGTGCCCATTTTACAGATGAGGAAACAAAGACACATAGAGGAGCCAGGTGACTTGCCGCCCAGACTTTACAGGATTTGTGGGGCAAAGCCAGAGATGACAGTGAGAGATTCAGAGCTCTTAGGAGCCTGGTCCCTGCTGGGGTGGGGAAGGTCCCCTGCCTGGCCTCAGACCATGAATCTTTGTTCCCTCCCCAGGGGCAGGCTGGGCCCTGAGGCCTGGGAGGTGGAGGTGCCCAGCTCTGGGAAATAGGGCAGCCCTGGGCCTTGTGTCACTGCACGCCCCTCCCCCTCCCGCCTTTGTTTCTCTCCACAGCTTCATTCTCTTTCCCTCCCCTCACTCAGGCTCCTCCTCCTGCCTTCTCTGTCTCTTCATTTCTTTTCTCTCCCTCTCCCATTCTTTCTCTCTCTCTCTCCCGGATATGGCCTCCCTTCCCTGTCTCCCAGCACAGCTACTGTCAGGCAGCTCCTCTGTGTCTCCATTTCCCCGCCTTTCACACTGATGTTCTTCCCACCCTGGGGACCGAGGGCACCCTGAGGAGGCCCTGCCACATCTCAACTGGCGGGCGCCTCTCCTCTCCCCAGCCTGGGGCAGTCTGAGCTCCCCTTTCTCCTGGACATGGGGGGAGCTTTTGTTCTGAGTCCTCAGCACAAGTGGTGGGAGAGGCCCTGCTCTGAGAAGGGAGGGCCACCATGGGGCCCCAGGCGGATGACAGAGGGGCCTGGGGTGGGTGGGGGCAGCCCTGGCACACAGGTGACACACACCTGGCAAGCTCTGTTCCTGCCCTGGACAGCCCATGCCAGGACATAAACAGAAATGCTTAGCTAGGGAGGTGGAAACAGAGCAGGTGAGGAGACACTAGTCAAAATGCCGGCCCAGGAGGAGGAATAGCAGAGCAATGTCGGGCTCCCCACTCCTCATTTCCGTGTGTGATAGGCAGGCAGAACACACATGCGAAACGCAGGTGAATTACATTCCCTGCCCAGCTGAGCCCCTTCCACATACACGCAGGCGTGCACACACACAGAGCCTGCCTGGTGGCCCTGGGAACAGCACAGCATGGACGCAGGGCCTGGCCCTGTGAGCCCACGGGGCGAGCTCTTAGAGGGTCAAGCCAAGAGTCCAGGAAGAAAGCAGTGGCTCAATGAAGACTCCCAATAGATGGAAAGACCCCGGTTCCCCCAGCTGGCTTGGGCTCTGCACCAGCCAGCCAGGAAGCAGTTTGCCCAGGCCTTGCCAATGTCCCCCTGCTGGCCCCTGGTGACCCAGGACAGCTCCTGAGAACTGAGGAGGCCGGGCTCAGATGTGGCCGGGCTCCACATTCGGGAGCACAGATGGGGCCCCCCTGTGGGACCAGACAGGCTTGGCTGCAGACCCAGCTCTCCCTCCATCAATGAGAGGTGTTTCTAGTATTCAGTGGCCCACCGGGGACCTGGCGAGTCTCTGTAAGGAGAGGCTGTATCTCTTCCACGGAGTCTGTGGTCAGTCGCTGGCACCTCTCTATGCCCCTACCCTGCCCCCACTTCAGCAGAAACCCTCAAGAGGACGGACTCTGTGCTAGCCCCTTTCCACAGCCAAGCCCAGGCTTCTGACACTGACGTACCTTCTCAAGTCCAAACTACCTGTTCCTGTGGGAGGGGTTTGCCTCTGGTGTCCTGGTGTGACTGTAAGGAGTGGCCCCTGGTAGAAGGGGCCCGTGTGGACGGTCAGCTCCATGTTTACCCTCACTGTGGGGACCCAAACTTGAGCTCCCACTGGCAGTCGTTGGCTGATGTTTTTGCCCTCTCCTTTCCTCTCTGGCAGTGTTAACTGTTTCCTTGTGCCCACGCCCTTGAGGATGGGAGGAGGGGCTGATGCCTGGTGTTGGGAAAAGGAGAGGGGAGGAAACTAACTACATGGACATCCTCATCTCACTGTCCCGTGAGTCAGGAGCCCCCATAGAGATGAGAATCACCTGAGGTCACACGGCTAGTAGATGGCAGAGCCTGGATTGAACTCAGCATCCGGGGCCCAGGGGGAAGCACTGGCTTTGCCATCCATGCTCAGTTCCTCCTTTTCTCTGGTCCTGCCTTTGGGGAAGTTTGCAAAAACTGCTGAACACATCATTTACCCAAACCCCACAACGCCGCCGGGTGCTGCGTCAGACAGCCAGCCAGGACAGGAGGCAGCCACGCTCCCCAGCTTGCTCCCCAAAACTGACAGCGGCTGGAGGGCGCTGGGGGAGGCTGTGGTGCGCCCTGCCCCATTCCCCTTGATGTGTCCAAGCAGGAGCCCTGGCCGGTAACAGGGACTGAGCAGCTATTTGTTGTATAAATGAACAAATGAGTTCTGTCTCTCATGGTTGTCCTCACAATCACTTAAGATTTGCTGAATTTGGGGCCCAAGAATGGAAACATCTCTTGGCTCTGTGGCTTTTTTCAGAAAAGGCTTCCCCCAGAGATCTGGGCAGATAATAGTGGTTCCTCTTTTTGTTTTTGTTTTGGTTTTTTTTTTTGAGACGGAGTCCCACTGCAACCTCAGCCTCCCAAGCAGCTGGGATTACAGGCGCCTGCCACCACACCCAGCTAATTTTTATATTTTTAGTAGAGACAGGGTTTCACCATATTGGCCAGGCTGGTCTCGAACTCCTGACCTCAAGTAATCCGCCCTCCTTGGCCTCCCAAAGCGCATGAGCCACCACACCCAGCCAATAGTGATTAACAGTTGGTTAGGTCCTTATAATGAACCAAGCTGCTTCATTTGTGTCAGGACCCTGGGCTCTCAACCCTTCCAGGGTAAATGTTTTCATCCCGGTTTCTCAGATGGGGAAACTGAGCCACTTGGTGTGACTTTGTTTAGTCACTTGCAGGTGACTGAGCTGGGACTCGAGGTCCTTGCTAACTGCATTTCCCAGCAGCTGGACACTGGGCTGGGGCATGATTTGGAAACAGGTTTAGTACCCCAGCCTATTCCAGATGCACCCTGACCCCCAGGCCAAGGTTTCCTTCCATCTGATCCCTTCCATGAGAGCCTCATTCTAAGCTTAATAGTTTAATCTTTGGTGTCCATTTCAAGGAGGCTAAATTCCTGTCTGGGGTATTTTTAGCCGTCCTCAGGAAGGGGAAGCTCCACTGGGCACTGGGGGAGGGGACGCCTTGCCCGAAGCCGGTTTCCTGAGGAAGGGCTGCCGAACGTGTGCTTGACCGTGGCCCTGGGAGAAGCTGGTAGTTGGTCAGTTGGGAGCCCTGGGAGCAGAGCAGGCGAGGCAGGCGAGAGTCACCCTGATAATGCCATCCCGCCTCCTCTGATATGCCAGGTGCTGAACCCGGGGCAAGGGATACAGGTCCGAGAGGAGACCGCCACCCCCCACGGGTACACTGCCTGGCACGCTGCAGTCCTGGGAAGGCTGGAGAGGGCTCGAGGGCAGGCCGGGAGAGCTGGCAAGGCCCCAGAGCAGGTGGACCTCAAGCAATGCCTGGGAGGCTGGTGGGCGGAGCAAGGGTCAGTGGGGTTCAGAAAAGGGCGCCCCCAGTAGGAAGACTCTTGGGTGCACAGACCGGGCTCCACAGAGCAGGTGCTTGCTCTGTGGCTGGAGCCCCAGCAAGGGAAGAGGCCATAGGCTGGGGGTTTGTACCTGGGCAGGTGGGCACATTAGCACTATTCAGAGGGATGTGTTCAGGATAGGCACAGAGGCTCATGTACGTAATCCTAACACTTTGGGAGGCAGAGGCAGGAGGATCACTTGAGTGCTGGAGGTTGAGGCTGCAGTAAGCCATGATTGTGTCATAGTAGCCTGGGCAGCAGAGCCAGACCCGATTTCTAAACAAAAAATGAAAAACACCTGTTAGATGAGAGCCAGGATGTGAAGCTGGGAGCCGCTTTGAGCACTGAATTCAGATAGTGGTCTCAGACATGGTGGCTTTCAAGGACCCCTTCTCTCCAATCACATCTGACATGGAACTCCAACGTAGAAATCAGATACAAGTGGTATTCTTTTATCAGTATAAATTTAGATATTTAAATGTATAACATTTAGCTAATCAAGGAAAACAACCACCAGTTGTGATAGACGCAGATGTTTAGCATCGGGGCTGACAAGTGAGCAGTGTTTGAGATCGGCCTCAGCACCTAATTTATTTTTTTATGTGTTAGAAGGTAGCACATAGAACATTTGAGTAGGTGAGCCTTTTAAAATCAGTTTTTAAATAGTAGACTCTTTATTTTTTGTATTTTTCAATCCGATTTTTAAGGAATTCTTTTTTTTTTTGAGATAGAGTCTCATTCGGTTGCCCAGGTTGGAGTACAGTGGCTTGATCTCCGCTCACTGCAAACTCTGCCTCCTGGTTTCAAGCGATTCTCCTGCCTCAGCCTGCTATAGCTAGGACTACAGGCATGCACCACCACACCCGAGTAATTTTGTATTTTTAGTAGAGACGGGGTTTTACCATGTTGGCCAGGCTGGTCTTGAACTCCCGAACTCAGGTAATCTGCCTGCCTCAGCCTCCCAAAGTGCCACTGCACCCAGACTTTTTAAGGAATTCTTGAAGGACCTGTAGAACACGGTTTGAGAACCACCGAGGAAATCCCACCTCCCTGTTGTACAGATGGGAAGACTGAGGTCAGCAAGGGGCAGAGCTTACCCAGGATCCCCCAGGGAGATGGAGGAGTTGGTCAGATACACAGCGGGAATCAATCATGGCTCCCTGTAATTACAAGTGTGCCCTGTTCCCAAGGCAAGAGTAGAAAAGACTTCAAGTCCAGACACACCCGAAAACGGCTAAGCCCTGGTCCATGCTGAATGTGCCTGCTGTCTGTTCCCACGGCACTGAGCCAACAATATTAACACTCGTTTCTCCTTCCACAGCGATGCCCTCCTAGCCAGCCGCCACGGGATGGAGGGTTTCATGGACTCAGGGACACAGACGGATGCCGTGGTGGTGCTCTCCTTGGCTCAGGCTGCCGTGCTTGGCCTGGTCTCCGAAAATGAGCTCTTTGGAGCTACCATAAGCGCCGAGGCCTTCTACCCAGACTTGGGGCCCGAGCTTTCTGGGGCAGCCATGGGAGAGCCTGGGCCACCAGGCCCTGACGTCTACCAGCTGGCCTGCAACGGGCGGGCCTTGGAGGAGCCGGCAGAGGAGGAGGTGCTGGAGGTAGAGGCAGCCTTCGAGAAGCACACCCGGCGGAAGACACGGCCCCCTGTGCGGCTGGTGCCCAAGGTCAAGTTTGAGAAGGTGGAGGAGGAAGAGCAGGAAGTGTACGAGGTTTCTGTGCCTGGTGACGACAAGGACGGGGGCCCAGAGGAAGCTCCGGCTGAGGCGGCCAGTGGCGTCTGTGAGGCCCTGGTGCAGAGCAGTGCCGTCAAGATGATCGACCTCAGCGCCTTTAGCCGCAAGCCCCGGACACTCCGACACCTGCCCCGAACCCCGAGGCCAGAGCTGGATGTGGCCCCCTACGACCCTCATTTCCCTGCCCCAGCCCGGGATGGCTTCCCCGAGCCCAGCATGGCGCTGCCTGGGACAGAGGCCTTGCCCACAGAATGTGGGTTCGAGCCACCCCACCTAGCCCCACTGAGCGACCCTGAGGCCCCCAGCATGGAGTCCCCAGAGCCCGTCAAGTCAGAACAGGGCTTCGTGTGGCAGGAGGCCGGCGAGTTTGAGGCCGATGCGGCGGGCTCGACGGTGGAACGCCACAAGAAGGCCCAGCTGGATCGGCTGGATATCAACGTGCAGATCGACGACTCCTACCTGGTGGAGGCAGGTGACCGCCAGAAGCGCTGGCAGTGCCGCATGTGTGAGAAGTCCTACACGTCCAAGTACAACCTGGTGACGCACATTCTGGGCCACAACGGCATCAAGCCCCACTCGTGCCCACACTGCAGCAAGCTCTTTAAGCAGCCCAGCCACCTGCAGACACACCTGCTCACGCACCAGGGCACCCGGCCCCACAAGTGCCAGGTCTGCCACAAGGCCTTCACGCAGACCAGCCACCTCAAGCGCCACATGCTGCTGCACTCGGAGGTCAAGCCCTACAGCTGCCACTTCTGCGGCCGTGGCTTTGCCTACCCCAGCGAGCTCAAGGCCCATGAAGTGAAGCACGAGAGTGGCCGCTGCCATGTCTGTGTCGAGTGCGGCCTGGACTTCTCCACCCTGACCCAGCTCAAGCGCCACCTGGCCTCCCACCAGGGTCCCACCCTCTACCAGTGCCTCGAGTGCGACAAGTCCTTCCACTACCGCAGCCAGCTGCAGAACCACATGCTCAAGCACCAGAATGTGCGGCCCTTCGTGTGCACTGAGTGCGGCATGGAGTTCAGCCAGATCCACCACCTCAAGCAGCACTCTCTCACCCACAAGGTAAGGCCACCCCGGGCCGGGGATCTGCCTGCTGCCTTACCACGTTTTCATCTAATAATTTCCAGAGTCCCGAATGGGACCATTTAGATGGTCTCCTCGTTGTAGCATCACTACTTATTTTGATGACTATTAGAAAGAAATGCTATCTTATGGAAATTGGCTTTTTAAGTAGTAAAGCTTTATGCATTCAAAAACTTGTGTTTTGGGAGCCAGGCAAGGTGGCTCATGCCTGTAATCCCAGATCACAAGGCCAGGAGTTCAAGACCATACTGGCCAACATGGTGAAACCCCATCTCTACTAAAAATACCAAAGTCAGCCAGGCATGGTGGCGCGTGCCTATAATCCCAGCTACTCAGGAGACTGAGGCAGGAGAATCACTTGCAACTGGGAGGCAGAGGTTGTAGTGAGCCGAAATCGCACCATTGCACTCCAGCCTGGGCAAAAGAGCTCAACTCCGTCTAAGAAAACAAACAAACAGGCCGGGCGCGGTGGCTCACGCCTGTAATCCCAGCACTTTGGGAGGCCGAGGCGGGTGGATCACAAGGTCAAGAGATCGAGAACATCCTGGTCAACATGGTGAAACCCCGTCTCTACTAAAAATACAAAAAATTAGCTGCGCATGGTGGCGCGTGCCTGTAATCCCAGCTACTCAGGAGGCTGAGGCAGGAGAATTCCCTGAACCCAGGAGGCAGAGGTTGCGGTGAGCCGAGATCGCGCCATTGCACTCCAGCCTGGGTAATAAGAGCGAAACTCTGTCTCAAAAAACAAACAAACAAACAAACAAAAAGTTTTTGACCGGGCACAGTGGCTCACACCTGTAATCCCAGCACCATGGGAGGCTAAGGCAGGTACCTTGCTTGAGTCCAGGAGCTCAAGAGCAACCTGGGCAAAATAATGAGGCCCCATCACTACAAAAAAATGTAAACATTAGCTGGGTGTGGTGGTGCACACCTCTGATCTCAGCTACTCTGGAGGCTGAGGCGGGAGGATCACCTGAGCCTGAGAGGCCAAGGTTGCAGTGAGCTGAAATCACAAAATTGCACTTCAGCCTGGGCAACCAGACTGAGACCCTGTCTCAAAAAAATGTATAAATATTGTTATCCGAGTCACGGCACCAAAGAAAAAAACAAAACAAAAAACCATTGTTTTTGAATGAAATGTTTATGGAACCCCTGCAAGACCAAAGGAACAGTTTGAGAATCATTAAAGTGGCCTGCCCTCCCTGTTTTCTTAATGGGAGGACAGAGGCTAGAGGGAAGCCAGGAGGCAACAGGGAGGCGTCCTGACTCAGTGTGCAGAGGTACAGAGAGTGTCCTTTGTTCCTTGTCATCACAAAAGTGAATCCAAACCTGTGACTTCCCTTTAGGAACAGGCTAAATATATTTAATTTTCAAAGGTGAGAAGATGGAAGGGAAAATATTCGTTACAGAAAAGTACAAGTCGTTCTAGAATATGGCTAAACTCAGCACAGTGGCTTGGGAGGAAGGAAAATTGAGCAGCACTTTCTAATCTACCATGTCCCTAGACCCAACCTTGACGTGTTCTCCCCTGCCCTCCATTCCCTGCCTTCAGCCAGCATCACCACCTCTGAGAGACCCTCATATCTGGGCAGGTGGAGTAAGGCCTCTCGGATCTTACAATCCCACACTCTGGTACTCAGCTGCTCCGTGGTTCCCACTGAAATCCCACCAACTCTGCCCTTCCAAGCTGAATGTGCATAGAGATTCCTCTCACCATAATGGTGGTCTTTGAGTGATACTCCAGGTTAAACTGTGACCCCTTCTCTCCCAATGGACACTACAGGGAGTTGGGGAGCTGTAACATCCTGCCAGGCCTAGAAGCCAGCAATTTGTAGGTTTCATTGCAGAGGGGCCTCCAGTCAACTGGTAGTAGCTGCCTACAGTGTAATGGCCGGGCGTGGTGGCCTACACCTGTAATCCCAGCACTTTGGGAGGCTGAGGCAGGTGGATCACAAGGTCAGGAGTTCAAGGCCAGGCTGACCAACATGGTGAAACCCCATCTGTACTAAAAATATAAAAATTAGCTGGGCATTGGGGCAGGAACCTGTAATCCAAGCTATCCAAGCTATTCGGAAGGCTGAAGCAGGAGAATTGCTTGAACCCAGGAGGCAGAGGTTGCAGCGAGCAAGATCACACCACTGCACTACAGCCTGGGTGACAGAGCAAGACTCTATCTCAAAAAATAACAACAAAAAAAGTAATGTCAACAAGGATTCTAGCCAGGCATGGAGCTGCACACCTGGAGTCCCAGCCACTCGGGGCTGAGGTGGGAGGATTGCAAAACAGGAGTTTGAGGCTATGATCGGTCCTGTGAATAGCCACTGCACTCTCGCTTGGGCAACATAGCAAGACTTTTTTTTAAAGGATTCTGGGCCAGACTCAATGGCTCACACCTGTAATCCCAATCAATCGCTTGAGCCCAGGAGTTTGAGACCAGCCTGGCCAACATGGTGAAAGCTTGTCTCTACTAAAAATATTTTTTAAAAATAGCTGGGTGTAGTGGTGTGCACCTGTAGTCCCAGCTACTAGGGAGGCTGAGGCATAAGAATTGCTTGAACCCTGGAGACAGAGGTTGCAGTGAGCTGAGATCACAACACTGAACTCCAGCCGGAGTGACAGCAAGACTCTAACCCCCCCCCAAAAAAAATCAAAAATTTAGCCAAGCATGGTGGCACACACCTGTGGTCCAGCTACACATGAGGCTGAAACAAGAGGATCCCTTGAGCCCAGGAGGTCAAGCATGCAATGAGCTATAATCGCACCCCTGCACTCCAGCCTGGACAACAGAGTGAGACCCTGTCTCCAAAAAAAAGATTCTGAAACTGAATCTTGGCAATAAAACCCTGTGATTGATTGTTAATGTCTGCAAGGAGTGATTGTGCAGGGTGACCGCACATATGCTATAATATTTACCATCTTTCTCCTCTACTAGGGGACTTAAAAATCCCAAGTCCAGGGTTGGATGTGGTGGCTCACGCCTGTAGTCTCAGCACTTTGGGAGGCTGAGGAGGGCAGATCACTTGAGTCAGGAGTTTGAGACCAGCCTGGCCAATATGGTGAAACCCTGTCTCTACTAAAAATACAAAAATTAGTCGGGTGTGGTGGCAGGTGCCTCTAATCTCAGCTACTCAGGAGGTTGAGGCAGGAGAATTGCTTGAACCTGGGAGGTAGAGGCTGCAGTGATCCAAGATCGTATCACTGCACTCCAGCCTGGGCAACAGAGCAAGACTCTGTCTCAAAAAAAAAAAAAAAAAAAAAATCGCAAGTCCACAGAGTGTTGATATTGTGAAGACAAGCCGAAATCAAAAACCAAAGGCTATTAAAACTGAAAACATCCCTATTACCAGCCTAAATATGTATAACGCACACATTACATGCTTATAAAATAAAATCCTGACTGGCAGGGCCCCCTGGTGGTCATACGCAGATGCATTGTGTCAGGAGGGTGTGCAACCCAAGACACAGCCCCTACTGCTCAGAGACAC